AATACACCCGTCCTTGGACGGGCTATTAGCTAATTTTAAATATTACTACACGTGTGCATGTAAACTGAATATTTGCTTCAACTAACTCAATATTTTACCTGTAACCTTGTTAGAAAAAATGTGATTTCCGTCATTTGACTATCACCTTTTTAAAATAAAAGATGTAATAAATCTTGACTTAAAGCTTTCGTGACTGCAGGAATTCATATTCTTTGGGTCTTTCGGTAAAGTCACGTAGATAGGTTCAAAGAAAATAACAAAAAAACTACGACGTTTCGATCGCAACACAAGCGCTCGTCATCAGGAAAAGGGGGCTTAGCTTCTAAAGGCAAACTGTTTATAAAGGTTTGAAATGGGCGTGGCCCAAATGTCAGCAGCCAATGTAAGTGGTGCGCAGTGACTGCGGCGGTGGTGGGTTTTCCACCAATCAAAGGTCTGCCAGGTAAAAATTAGCATGTTAATGTGAGATCACCGAGCATCCTCCACGGCGAGCACGCCGAGGTGGCTATGTTAATGTGAGAGATTAGCATGTCAATGTGACAGATGTGAATGGCATATCGCCGAGCAGAAACCTCGAGGATGGCGCGCAAGGTAGCTGTGTTAGTGTGAGAAATTGTATCTGTTATTGAAAAAATCTGTCGTCTGTGGTGCGGATTGTTTTGTTGGTGGTTTTGGCGTTGCATGCGTCTCTCTGGTGAGCTGTCCCTGCCATCTGTGTCGTGTCGGTCATGCTTGCGTGTCGTGTGTCTTCCTGCTGAGCGGCCCCTGTTGTCATGTCCCACATTGGTCATACTTGCGTGTTGTGTGTCTTCCTGCTGAGCGGCCCCTGTTGTCATGTCCCACATTGGTCATACTTGCGTGTCGTGTGTCTTCCTGCTGAGCGGCCCCTGTTGTCGGTCCCACATTGGTCATACTTGCGTGTTGTGTGTCTTCCTGCTGAGAGGCCCCTGTTGTCATGTCCCACATTGGTCATACTTGCATGTTGTGTGTCTTCCTGCTGAGTGGCCCCAGTTGTCGGTCCCACATTGGTCATGCTTGCATGTCGTGTGTCTTTCTAGTGAGCTGTCTCTGCTGTGCCGCTCGTGTTGCCCAGGTTCTTCCCTTTTTATCCTGGCAACTTTGTTTTAAGATGTTGTCTCCCTCTGACTTCGGGGGTTGTCAGTCCCACTTGTTCCCTGCTGCATCTGTATTTCTCCATCCCGTCTCTCGAGTTGCGAGGGGGTTTCTTTGTCAAACCTACTTTGATCGATAGCCATACTTTTTGTGGGGGTCTGTTCCTGGACTACATTCACGTACCCCACGATGTGGTATACTGCTACTTCCGTATTTGTTCTGTGAATCAACGTCTGTGAGTTTCGCTGGTGTCGCTACGAGGGTGTGAAGACATTACCTCGTTTATCAGAGACAGTTTCTTGCCCTTTTCCTTTTCGAATTTTTCCTCATTCCATAATCTCTGTCTGTCTGCCTGTGTGAGACGGTACGAGTCCCGTCTTGCTATTTCTGCATTTTTTACATCGTGTTCACTTTTATCACATTTTATCCAGTCCTTAAGTAGTTTCCCTCGATGTGTCTTAATGTCATGGATACGGCTCCCCTCCCATGTGTCCCTCTGCCTTGTCTGCTCTTTAGCAGACCGGCCTGTACGTATTAATACGAGTTCCCAATATTCCGCAATCCACTCAAAACATCATTTTGATCCTATCACAGGATGCAGTCCGTTCGACTCGAGAATATTGTCTCAAGCTACCTATCTTTGTTCTAACCTGCTACTCTGGTACTTCGCCTCAGAGTGCGTTTTTTTGTTTTAAACGCACGTTTACAATCACAAGGCAATTTTAGTTCTCAATACTCTGGTTAACACAACAGTGATTCATTCCTTAATTCAGGCATAAACTGTCTGCAAGAGATCCCGGATGAGCAATCCGATTATGTTGTATATATTGGGTCTTGAAAAATAATAAAAATAATACAAATTAAATATAAATTGAAAGTGTGTATTTTTCTTATTTATGCTAATTTATGTAATTATGCAGATGTATTTTTGCTAATTAGGAACGAGTAATTGAATCATGTGTAAGTGTATGTAAGCATGCAAATTTATGCACTTATGCTAATTAGGCTCGGTTTCGTTGTGGTGGGTTGTATTATCAATCTGGATAATACAATGATTCTCGCTTTAACTTTTACTGATTATGTCTTAGTGTGTTTATGTCAGGTCTCAAAATTCAGATCTCACTGCACCACTCAGACTCTTCTGTGTTAAACAACTTTAATATCTAAAAAAACACAACACTCTAATATGCGAACTCTTATGCTAGGAATGTCAACACAATACTCCTGGTGATGTCCTCCTCATTGATCCGTACATTTAACCCTCAATGGTTACGTTTGTTAAACTGGATAAGAGAACAATTGGCTCATTCCTCAGAATTAAGCGAGCATATACGGCGATAGGAAAAAGTCCTTAAAAATTAATGGGACAATATTCATGCGAACAGTAATAAAGAAACATGTCCCGAAAGCAAAAGTAGACCTCAATGAATTCATTGGTAGGATTATGCAATTAACTAAATGTCGATTTTTATGGAAAAAAATTGGCAGAATTATTCTTTATATTAATTTTTGGAAAAAGGCCTATATATACAACAGTACCCCGCTCCGTCCTATCGTCTCCACCATCAACTCACCCACCTACAAACTGGCCCGATTTCTGTCTGAGACCCTGCTTCCTTTTTATGGGCAAGACCACCTCAGCTGTACTTAACTCAGCTCACTTGGTTTCTCTAATCAAGGACATCTCACTGTCTCCAGATGATTTACTTGTCAGTTTCGATGTAGTCTCCCTGTTCACAAAGGTACCTGTACCTGATACCATTGCAATCATTGAAGACTTGGTCTAACAGGGACTGAATCCAGATGTACCAACTTTGGTGAGGCACTGCCTTACCAACACTTACTTCACCTGTAATGGTACATTCTACAAACAAAATTAGGGTACCCAAATGGGTTCTCCCTTATCACCAGTGGTAGCGAATGTTTTCATGGATAAATTTGAGACAGATGCCATCCAGACGTCTACCCTATGTCCTTGTGGAAGAGATACGTAGATGACACGTTCGTTATCTGGCCACATGGCCTGCCAGCACTGAACCAATTTCTCAACCACATCAATTCCATACACCCATCCATCAAACTCACCATGGAAGTGGAAAATGATGGCAAGCTACCATTCCTGGATGTTTTGATTGAGAAGAGACCTGATGGCTCGTTGGGACACTCTGTTTTTTTCCATGAAAGCCACCCACACTAATTCCTATCTAAAGCCTGATTCCCACCACCATTCAGCCCAGAATAATTTCGTCATCAAAACACTGCATCTCTGACCAGCACCACCTAGCCAGTGAGCTGGAGCACGTACACCTAGCCCTCAGGATGAACGGATATTCTGACCGTACAATCTGCAAAGCTGTATCCCCAGCCATGGGGAGACAGCCATCTGAGGATCCAACCAATACCATCACTTTTCCATACATAGCAGGGGACACTTAATTTATTTTGATAATATTGAAGTTCTTTCCAAAACTAGTTACTACTGGCCAAGGCTAATTAGAGAATATATCGAAATTGAGAGAAATTAAAATGTAACCGTTAGGATAGCTACAGGCTTAGTGCTACTTGGAAGCGAATCATCAAATAATTCATTGTTTAAATGCAAGTCTATACCTCTTATTGTCAGCCTGTGGGCTGACAATAAGAGGGCTGACAATAAGAGGTACTGCTCTTTTAGTGCACACAAACGACAGGAGGTACAATAATAATGTGCATGCATAACATACGTTGATTACCATATGAATAATCAAATCGGTAATGAATACCCATTGTAATTGATATGTATTCATTAATCCCCCCCACACCCCTTCGCACGTGAAGGGCTCACAAGTGACGTCATCACATCTATCCCTCTTTAAGGAACGAAACAGGATTTCTCTACAAATATGGCCGTCACTTGATGCTAGTTGTCATTGCTGGTGAAATGTCGTACTCGGTTTGTAAATATAGTGGATATGTCCTCCAACACACCGGTGTGCAGTATTAGTAACGAATTGGCATGTTATGTTTACGTGACAAACCTTACTAATTGGCTGTGTTGGGTGTTGGCAGATTTAACGACACATTTATATTTAAGCGATCTAACAAAAAAAAAACCTGTGTTATGGATACATACGCACGCTTTTAACAAGTTCCCATATTTACTATACCCTTGCCATCACAATTACTTAAAAAATAAAGAATATAAAACACAACATCACAATGCCATGCCTTTTGAGCAGAAGGCTGGAGCATGTATATTACCAGAGTACACGTAATGCTCAGCAGAGTTAGGTGTGCTCCCGCGCTTACAGCCTTTAATAGCTCTGCGAATACCTGCAAGGTAGAAGATAAAAGGCACCTGGATCCATCGGCGCCCTGTCAGAGCCACAGCATCAAAAGTGTTTAAATCATAGGTTCACACCTCCCCTCCCCGTTCAACCACTCGGAGTGAAACAGATTCTCACTTGTAATTAGATTCATTTCTCGGCATTGTTGCCAGTCACTGTATATATCAAATTCATAATTTGGTTTTGCAATTCAATTAATGTCCATTCTCAGGGCTTATACTGTATATTGGTGAAGAGTCACCGCCTCGCTTGAGAGGAGTGCCCTGTTCTGATTTCTGGGCATGACACATTTTAAAATAAACTGAGAGTATTTAATTGTTATCTCTTCCCTGGATTGTTTCCCAACATGACGCGTTGTTGTACTCGTTTTTGCGGTGTCCAAAAGAGATTTCTTTCACTCTCTGCACTTTACCTCTCGCATTACAACAGGGATTCAGTTTTTGTAAGTCGAGTTCAGCATATGTACAAAGAGCTTATGAAATCTGAATTGTGCAATTTGAATGCTTTAGCTGGGGTCATCCTAGCACCTTGAATCCCAGCATTGTCATTTGTTGCATGCAGGACCGAAGGTGAATGGAGTGGACTATCACATCATCCCCGCCCATGATGGTCTCCCTCTAAGCATGCTGGGACAGGTGAGCAGGGAACTCTGGGTAAGGCTGCACGATTCACTTCCCTCCACATGTTCAGTCACCAGTGTTTTCATATCAGGATAAAAAAAAACACATTAGACGATTGAAGGGAAACCTATAAATTTTAGTAAAATCCCCACTCCACAGAGATGTATATATATAATTAATGATCAGTGCGTCCAGACTTTAAAAAGGCAAGTGAGGACTCCCTTGCCATATTCACAGATCTTTATCTGTGAATGTCGATGCCATAAATTGGTGGTTGCCTAGTCTTTGGGAATGGAATGCTATGGTATTACACTGCGCTCGAATAGCAAAAACTCAATCATACATTTTAAAAAAACATCAAAACGTCAGCTTAAAAAATATTAGGCATCCAACTATTTATGAATAGGTCAGAGCTCTTTGAGATAGAATGTCTTCTGGAATTGAGATCCGTATATATATCTCTCTCCCAATTCTAAACTCTACATTACGTCTTTGAATGCAAAACCATAGAACTCCTGAGCTGGTGGCAATGCTCTCATCTGAGAGCATCATTTGACACTGCTGAGCACTGTTGTGCCCTTCCCTGTGGCTGTTGCTGTGAAGTAAGCACGTGTGGGCCAGTTGCCCCCTTGCTAGACGATAGATGAAACTCAGGCCACGCAGTGCTGCCCACGAGTGACCACTGGACGTTATAAGGTCACATCCGTGTTGGTGATCAGCTGGGGGGAGAGCACCACTCCGTTATTTAAATTTACATCCGCAGATGTTTGGTAACTGTCCGCAGGAACGAGCCAAGCCTTTACAGGTTTAGGCTTCAACTGATCATTTTAGCTAAATTGTTTATATATCTGTTTGTCTTTGCTTTGTCTCTTAATTATTTACATGAGTAATGTTTTTTGTTATTGGAATATACATGGATTATAACCATTTATCAACTTTTTGTATTGAAATTCATTATTGTGCTCACAATACACGCATTGAATCACACTTTTAAGATCGAATTATTTATAGTTTATGCAAATAGCATTCAAATCAAATGTAACATTTTTACCTTTGGGTTTATGGAACACGCAAGGCAGATCGTGGAAGACTCACAGAGACCATGTAACAGTGCGACAAAAAAAAAATCTTGACTTAAAGCTTTTGTGACTGCAGGAATTAATATTCTTTGGATCTTTCGGTAAAAAAAAAAGTTCTAGATGTTTTGTAATGGCATTGCGGCATTTGCAGGGAGTGGAATTATGAGATGCCTATTACACGCTGTCGCTCAGTGGGTCTAATCTTTGCAGCACTTGGAACGCACCACCGTACTTGAGCCAAAGCATTGCTACTGCAGTCACCACATTCCCTTAAAAAAAACAGCCTTAGCCGTTCTGACGTCCTACACGCGTACGTTGGATTTTTGTTTAGGCATCTTGCCTGTGTCGCATAGCGATGGCCCATTAATTCAATTCATGTCAAGGTCGCTTGCATTTTAATGCTTTGTCACTTGGTAACAAAAAAGTTAAGTTTCATTCTTTTGTTCATCAATGGCAATCTGGATTTGTTTTTTTAATGACGTACGTAAGTATGGTACAGTCGTGCATTGCATTGGCAATCATTTGGAAATTTTAACCGTGTACTTAGAAAAATAAAACATAAAATGTGCTCGTTTTAGCAAAACGTGTGCACTTGCATTTCCTTTTTTTATTTTCCTTGAGTGTGCCTGCTCCCCCACCCTATTGTGCAAACCGCAAGAAAACGGCATTCCAGTTGCTTCAATTCTACGTGGACCCAGATTACAAAGGTTTAATTGCCACCGAAAATTTGGCACTGAAAAATAAGGATTCACTCTGTGACCCCCGCTCCTCCCCCCCATAGGGGTGAATGATGATGATGATGCTGCTGCACCGCATAGTTCCAGCAGTTCTGCGCCATCCTTGCGGATCCCGCAAACGTTTAACGAGACGATTGGTCGTTGACACCCCCTCCGCGGTTAGCGTCATCTCTGGTTCGCGCCTCCGGTTAGCACGGTTGGCTAAGAACGACGTGAAAGAAGTTCAACAAACGGACATACATAGATCTGATGCCACCTACGTCTCATTGTGCACTGGCTAAGAACGACGTGAAAGAAGTTCAACAAACGGACATACATAGATCTGATGCCACCTACGTCTCATTGTGCACTGCCCGAAAATTTGCTCCTGCTCATTTTCCTACTCGCTGGTAAGGGAAGGTTTAGCGAAAGTTAATCCCACTTTAATCTCCTTCCCTAGAGTTGCAGGCAAGAGGATCAATAGTCACTCCTTGCTGTTACCTTACTCACTGCCGCCTTCATTCTTTATATTTATATTTCCTGTGGCATTAACACTACATGCACCGGTGTTAGCTACGTGACCAACTATATTTTTTATGAGCGGCGCATGAGTTGGCCTAATTTCCTTGCGCTGTACCAGTTGGTGGCACGTACGAGAGGCGATGGCTCCCTCACGTGGCTCCACGTCGCTGCCACTTTACCGGTCCTCTCCTTGGCATCTGCACCGATGTTCTTTTTCATTGTGTGCATCATCTGTGGTTTTGCCCCACAAAACAATATGATGATGGCATTCTCCCCCCCTCTTTGCACTGTTGTAAGTGTCACTGTGTGGCACGTAACGTAAGCTTTTGCTTATTTACCATCAGAAAATGTGTTGAAATTATTAATTTCCAATAGTCCTCAGTTTTAGTACTCAACAAAAAATTGTTTGGTCAGTGTTAAATTCCAGCCTCATAGCAGACATTTTAATTGATTCATTACTACCAGACCATGTTTTTTTGTTTGCATGTTCACCACACGTACATGTGGTTAATGCACACATGATTCATCATTAGACCTCCTTTGCCAGTACCAAAATGTAATAATAGGGTTTTTCCCCTTTTTTTCTGGCAACAAAACTGAAACCTTTTTACAAGGATTCATGTCCGCATTAACCACAATACCTGCAGTCAAAATGCAAACAAAAAACATACTATGATAATATATGCGTTGTCCTTGAAACTGATTGGTCCACACCAAGGGACGGCTTGCTTTTGAGCCTCAACCCAATTAGATCTGAACCTCGACCCAATTGGGTCGAGGCTCAAAAGAAAGCCGTCCCTTGGTGTGGACCAATCAGTTTCAAGGACAATCGATATATTATCACAGGATGCTTTTTGTTTGCATTTTGACTGCAGGTATTGTGGTTAATGCAGACATGAATCCTTGTAAAAAGGTTTTGTTGCCAGAAAAAAAGGGGAAAAACCCTATTATCACACATGATTCCTTGCAAAAGGTTTCAGTTTGGTGTTTTAACATCTTAACACAAACTGTTTTATTGCCAAAAAGGGTAAAACCTATACTTATACTTTTAATTGATATTTGTGTTGAACTTCTTTCGCACCGTACGTAGCCAACCGTGCTAAACAGAGGTGCAAGGGAAGGACAAGCTTGATATACACTAATACCAGGGCCTCGTAGCCCTACGCGTAATGGCCTGGACATTGAAAGAGCCAGGTTTGAGAGTTGGGATCGAGACCCCGACATTCAGGAATTTCTGTAAAAGTCCAGAAGACCCTCCACCTGGAGACTGTTCATGGTGCGGTCAAGAGAGAGCATGCACCCAGTCTCGTGTGCTTGGTCTCTTCTTGTGTGGCAAATACTTTTTAATGGAATTCTGTTGTGGGCCTGTCTTTAGTGGCTTTAAAGAAGGTCAGGTTCTCGACCATCTCGGCCTTTCACAAGGAGGTGAAAAGGGGGTTGCCCATGGGCTCATTTAAAACATTAACCAGGCTCTTTTAGGCGATGAAACAGTAAAGGCCACAAGTCAGATCCCATATGGCACCCTGAAACCTACATCTGGTGCTGAACTTGTTGTTTGGGATTTCTTTTAAGCTTTTAGCTACCTGTTCGAAGTGTCTGTTGACTTTAAAACTTAGTTCCTGATCGCTACAAATTTGGCAGGGAGGATTAGTGAGCTTGCACATTTTGGTGGTTAACCCTCCCTTCACGCTGATCGCAAGGGGGAAAGGGCAGTGTTGAGTATATCCCCTCGGTTCGTCCTAATGGCCTTGTCAGAACTTCACATTAGCCAAGAAATAGTCTTGCCTTATGTTACTGTAAGGCTGCGCTATTGTGCTTTGCCGTGATTGCAATCGCCCTCCCGCCTGTGGTGCAGACTGCACGTTAACGTAGTTGTGTCTTGTGTGTGGGGTTGTGCACTCTCGTATCGACGTGTGTTTCGCAGGTTAAGGCCGAAGCTAGTCTGGCCCAGGCACCTGCACAAATGTCTCAGGTTACCAGCCAGCCCTCCATCACCATGGCAGCTCTTCCACAGGCACAGCTGCTGTTTGCAGGCGGCCAGATCGCTGGGGTAACGACCTCTTAACATTTTAAACAGCTCATCTACATTACAAAAGCGAAGGTTACTGTGTGAGCTCAGCCACAACTGACTAAAGGCTGTGGCGTGCGTTCCTTTTATTTTATCCAGAGAGCACACACGCAAGATGTGGTAAAAAGTGGTTTGTTGCATTTTTGTGTTATTAGCTCATCTCATCCCATTGCTGGATGAAGGTTTTAATAACTTTATCGATGTGGTCTCTCAGCGCCACACAGATGCAAAAAAAGAGAGTCTGGTTATGTCGGCATTCGTGGGAATACTGTGTCAATGCAGTAAATTGTTTTTATTTGCAGTATAAAATACTGAAAATTGTACTTTGATGTAACTTTCCATTTTGTAAGATAGGGTGCTAGGAAAGTGAAGCCTGATTTTCTTTTTGTGCTCTGTTGCCGAGAGGAAAACTTTAAATGGTAAATATTGACACTTATGTATGGTGTGTTCCACGACACGCAACTGCGGTTGAGATGCATCCTTTAATTTGTGTTGTGTTATGGTTGCTGCGGCACAATTGGTTCAGCTCACCGAAAACTACCAATCCACTCGGCCACCGAGTTGTGTGGTTACCACCGGGCGCATGGCACTTAGGTCTGTGTTTCTTTTTCCTGCAAGTTGACGCTGGCTGGTGTACAGCAGCACCTGCTGATACAGCAGGCGCAGGCTCAGCTCATCACTTCAGCCACACAGCAACAGCAACAACAGCAGCAGCAGCAACAGGCTACAACAGCTGGGCAGACAACTGCCCACTTCACCATAAACCAGTCCACAGGACAGATTTCACTAAGTCAACTGCAGGGACAGATATCCCTGGCTCAGCCTATACAAATTGCAACGCAGGTGACCCCATGATCACCCACCTCTATCAGCATGACTCCTGTGGCCATTTGCATAAAACACTTCAAGTGACCTTGTTTTTCCTTCACTTGCACTGCTTTAAGACAGTAAGAGCAAGGTCCACTTTATATGTTTTAAACAACCGGCAACAGACCCTGGCTTCATCATCGTCATTCCATACACAGAGCCCTGTGCAGTTGATAAATGAGAAATCTTTCGTTAATTAAAATTGTGATGTTACATTTTAATGATAAAATATAAAATCTTCTCTTTAAATTGTGGGAGCAGAGTTTGTTTAGTTTCACTACGTTGAAAGCATACTCTTGTTCATGTAAACAAATATGACATTGAGAAATTCAACTTAAACACTAGTGAGACTCTTTTGTGCAATGCAGTTTTAGTGACCTCTTGTCATCTCCACAGGGCTCTCTAATTGGCCATTTTCCTCGCCCTTGACCCCCCTCCCCTGGGCTCTATCACGAAGCTTGCACGAGCTTCTCTTCTCACCGTAGCTGCGGCATTGGAAACTCCGTTTCACCAGCTCATGAACGAAGCCGCACTCCTTCTCGTGAGTTAGCGGCAAGCACTGTCCATTGACGGTGTTTCTGGTAACACCATCAAGTTCCTTCTTTACTCGGGTTGGAATGGAGTGTGGTGCAGCTTTTAACGTGAGCCTGGGAGAAGTGGTCATCTGATTGAAATACGGACAGCCTCGTTCGACAACACTGGTTGTCCAGGAAAGGCGCCGTGCAGTTGGCCTTCTTGAGTACCATGTGTGCGGAATTGCACCTTGTTGGGAATCTCTGTGCCGCTGTAATGTGACTGTTAATAGCCCTGTGACATTCTACCACGTCTCAAACCATTGCATGATCCCCTGCTCGAAGACCATTGCATGACCAGCCCTAATGTCCATCGTCAAACCCTTAACCTCCACCATTACCTGCTGTCAAGTGTGTGCAAATAAGTGGATGTGTAGTGATTTTTATGACCGTTTTAAGTAAACATTTTTTTATTTAAATATGTAAGTATACTTTGAGTTAATATACGTATGTATGTTGAACGTCTTCCGCACCGTACGTAGCCAACCATGCTTAATCGGAGGTGCGGGGGAAGGACAACTAACTAAACACAAAAAATATTATAATATATTAGCTGCAACAAATGACTAAATGTGTAATCAACAATTGATTAGTTACGATGCGAAATTTATTGTATGCCTATTTAGGTGAACCAGGTGAAAGTTAATTTGGACAACAATCATCATATACTGTTTATATATTGTGAATAAGCATTTTATGTGTTATGATTTGGATGGGTATATTAATATGAAGGGTTGTAGTTTGAAATATATATCTATAATTAAATTGAATTTGTGCACATTGAGCTAAAATAGAAACATTGATAAGGCCATGGTTTTGTATTTGGTAGATTAAAACATGCACATTGAGCGGTTATCCAATGTGGAAGGTGGTTTTGGATGAGAGTTACAATAGAAGCTGGTTTCTTGAATACAGAAAACAAAATTGACCTTTTTTTTGTCGGAGTAAAAATTAACAGGCCAATCGGCAATTGCAGCTGTAATATATATTATGCATTAAAAGAAACACGGATGAGGGCTGATTGGGTCCTCCGATTAACATCCGTTGTTTGCATGTCGTGCGGTACATTCCAGTCGTGGAAATGTACGCATTCGTGATACAACTTGGGCAGTATATATAAAAAATATTTTTTTGGGCGTTAATTAAAACCTATTGAGCTTCATCTGTAGATGTATAATTATGTCGATACTTGTAAACATCAGGCATATATATGCATCCTGCTTTGCATCCATTGGATATCGCTGCATGGTTTGTGTAATTCGATGCTTGACTGTCTTATAAGTGCACGTAACACTTTCCTTCTGTAAGCTTTAGCCGTATGTCGGTCATCGTTTCTGGCATCCACAGACTATTATTATTTACACTCGCAATTGCTCTCGAGGCCCATCAAGTGGGTGTCCTGTGGACGCTGCCAACAACAACAATCAAAATCCAGATTGCATAACAAATAAAAAAAACCTTATGTAACGATGCTTTGGCTCATCTATTAAAAAAAGTTTATCATGCTCGCAGCGCACGCATCTATGTGCGTGAAAATTTATATATATTTAAATCAGATGTTTTACGTAATTGGCTTTATATAAACCCTGCAAGCTTTACTTTCACCACAATGGCAAGAATGTATAGATTCTTGAATCGAATCATGACCCATAATCGTGACAATTGATCAATTACATTGGGGGCAAGGTGGTGAATCTGTTCAATTCCTGTTACGCATGGCTACACGTGCACGTTTGCATGCTAATTGGAATCCTCGGCAGCTCATGTAGAGGCTCGCAAAGTGATTATGACACAAAGCCCCAGTGCGCATCGCTCGCTGACGGAACCCCTCTGCCGCGTCGTGTGCCGGTGGTCAGGACCTCCAGACTGGGCTGCCTCTTCACCAGCTCTTTCTAGTGCAGCCCGCCACTGGGCTAGCCACCGGGCTGCAGCAGGCTCAAGTCATCCTGCCTCAGGCGGGCCACACCAGGCCAGGTGAGGGGCAGGACCGGGGGCGGGAAGGTGGCTCAGACAATGCACCGCCGTCTTCGCCGTTGCCGCCGTTGCTCACGCCCCCTCGATGTCCCCGCAGGACTCGCGCAAGCACAGAACGTCCTGCAGCAGTTGCCTCAAGCGACGCAGCGAAGCGTCGCAGCTCCGGTGGGTGCACGCAGAGACAATGATTCCCCCATGTAGCCTACATTGCACTGATGGGGGCGAGAGCTGTTCGGGTGGTTACTCATCATATGCTTACGAACGAGACAATCTATACTTCGTGCACTGGCCATCACTTCTATGGGAAACACTTTCTCCTGCGGAGGGGGCTGGTAGGAACGTTGGTTGCTCGGTCAATGGCCAGGGTCAACGGTGGCACCACGTGGTGTATTCTGCACAATATGCCCGACTGTGAGGGCGAGCACAAGCCGGCGTGAGTAGGTTAAATGTTGAGTTTTATAAGGGCACCACGGGGTGACCAGCCCCTCCCCACCCAGCCCCACCCCCCACCCAGCCCCTCCCCACCCTCCCCTCCCCTCCCCACCCAGCCCCACCCTCCCCACCCAGCCCCTCCCCACCCTCCCCTCCCCACCCAGCCCCACCCAGCCCCTCCCCACCCTCCCCTCCCCACCCTCCCCACCCAGCCCCTCCCCACCCTCCCCTCTCCACCCAGCCCCACCCCTCCCATTTTTGGATGCACGACGGACGGACACAATAAATCCCTGTGGGCTGGTGTAACCAGGAGGTTCCTACCAGTGTAATCTTTCCAAGACATTTCTCTCAAATCTGGTGTATAGGTGCCGTGGGCCCTTTGTTTTAATTATGCCGTGTCATTGATGATGTTAAATGGTTCATCAGCATCATCAGCTTTGATCAATCTACTGCTGGTTCGATTGTCGCTTCTTGCCACCAATAATGTTTATCCAGTATCGGGCACATGATGATGACGACATGGCCCGGTCTTTAGCCCTGGCGAAGTCCTCCAAAATAAACGGTTCCACTCGGATCCGACAGACCGATAGATGCCCCATGGTTTTTGTTTCACCGAAGTCGCATGTGTCAGTGTCGTTAAGGACAACCCAATGCTCATTAGACGATCCTGATAAAAAGGCCCAGACGGGCAACTCTGCCCGGTGATGGCCTGCTTTCGCAGCCCGCTGAGTGGCTTGCACGCGCGTGTTGTCTTTGTGTAGTTTACCCTGCCCAGCAGAGCGACGGTGCCCGTTGGCGACGTGGCCGCGGGCACGGGCGTCGGCACGGGTGGCTCTGGCGGCGCCGCCAGCCCAGGCATCCAGCCCGAGGACCCCAGAGACCTGGAGGAGCTGGAGGTGTTTGCAAAAATGTTCAAGCAGCGGCGCATCAAGCTGGGCTTCACACAGGTAGTAGAGCGTGAGCTGGAGGGGGCTCCCACGTTGACACGCGTCGCGGTTTGTTGCACGTGTTGTACGCGCCAGTTCGTCCGTCTGTTTAGTTTTCTGTAATCCTTCGCAGGGAGATGTGGGCCTGGCGATGGGCAAGCTGTATGGCAATGACTTCAGTCAGACGACCATCTCCCGTTTCGAGGCACTCAACCTTAGCTTCAAGAACATGTGCAAGCTCAAGCCCCTGCTGGAGAAGTGGCTCAATGACACAGGTGTGCACGTGCGTGAGTGGACAGCGGGTGTACGGGCAACCGCTGCGCACAGCCAGTGGTTGTCGACTACGAGGCTACGTGGCGGGCAGCAGAGGGCAGTGCGGCAACATCCATTATTATTCTGTGCATTCCTGCCCCCCACGTCTATGCTCCCCTTCTTCGGCCAACCTGTGCTAACCAGCGGGGTGAAGTACGGTCCATAATCCCCCGCTACCCTCGCGGTGTGCGGAGTCCCTCATCCATTTGATGAGAGAAGAAAAATAGTAGTTGAATTTTAACTTAAAACTTTCGTGACTGCAGGAATTCATATTCTTTGGTTCTTTCGGTAAAGTCAGGTGGATATAAGAAAAATAATAACAAAAATTAAGTGAATAGAAATATTAACCAACATAAAAACACGAATGTAGACTGTAGCCTGGTAATTAATTGGAGTGAGTGTACTGGCAGTCTATAATGTAGACTGTTGCCTGGTTGCTTAAGCTGGTGAGCGTATTGGCAGTCTATGATGTAGACTTATTCTTGGTTCTTTCAGTAATTTAAATATATTTAAATTAACATAAAATAAAAACACGACAATTCTATCGCAACACAAGTGGTCGTCATCAGGAAATGAGAGGTTAGCCTCTAAAGGCAAACTGTTGATAAAGGTTTAGAGATGGGCGTAGCCCAACTAAGCTGTATCTGCAGCAGCAGTTACATAGGGGAAACTAACCGACATGTCTCAGACCGTGTTTGTGAGCATAAAGCAGATTTGAAACACAGTAGGACCAATACTTCTGCTGTGGCTGATCATTATTTTAATGCAGCTGGTCCACACGAAATTGATTTCTCTAAGACGATGGTACTTTGGAAGCCTACTGGCTATCAACAAAGTTTCGTTCATGAAGCCATCCATATATACAGACACAGGCACAACTTCAACCGAGAGGATGGTTATAATCTAGGATTGAAGCTTTCGTGACTGCAGAAATTACTATACTCATTGGTTCTTTCGGTAAAGTCACGTATGTAGAAATAAAATTTAATTAAAATAGATCACGACGTTTCGAACGCAACACAAACGCTCGTCCTCAGGTGAAAATGGCGTAAACCACACAGTGAAGGAACACACAGAGGGACATCACACACAGAGCACACAGAGGGACATCACACACAGAGCAAACAGAGGGACATCACACACAGAGCACACAGAGGGACATCACACACAGTGCACACAGAGGGACATCACACACAGAGCACACAGAGGGACATCACACACAGAGCACACAGAGGGACATCACACACAGAGCACACAGAGGGACATCACACACAGAGCACACAGAGGGACATCACACACAGAGCACACAGAGGGACATCACACACAGAGCACACAGAGGGACATCACACTCAGAGCACACAGAGGGACATCACACACAGAGGGACATCACACACAGAGCACACAGAGGGACATCACACACAGTGCACACAGTGGGACATCACACACAGAGCACACAGAGGGACATCACACACAGAGCACACACAGGGACATCACACACAGAGCACACAGAGGGACATCACACACAGAGCACACGGAGGGACATCACACACAGTGCACACAGAGGGACATCACACACAGAGCACACAGAGGGACATCACACACAGAGCACACAGAGGGACATCACACACAGAGCACACAGAGGGACATCACACACAGAGCACACAGAGGGACATCACACACAGAGCACACAGAGGGACATCACACACAGAGCACACAGAGGGACATCACACACAGAGCACACAGAGGGACATCACACACAGAGCACACAGAGGGACATCACACACAGAGCACACAGAGGGACATCACACACAGAGCACACAGAGGGACATCACACACAGAGGGACATCACACACAGAGCACACAGAGGGACATCACACACAGAGCACACAGAGGGACATCACACACAGAGCACAAGTCCTTATCCTCTGTGTTTTCTCGCTGTGTCGTTTGCGCCATGTTCACCTGAGGACGAGTACTTGTGTTGCATTCGAAACGTCGTGCTCTATTTAACTTTATTTTTTTATTTTATTTCTACATACGTAAATTTACCGAAAGAACCAATGAGTATAAGATGGTTTTTAAACTCAGCAATCATTGGAAAGATGTCATCAACCACTTTGGGTCATAACTTGATTTGCGTTTTCTTGTCAACCTCCACCGTCAGCAGTGTGGGTATGTGGAGCGAGGTGCACATGTCAGGGCATCACGAGGGAACCCCGCCAGCCGGGTGCCTTCTGCAGGATTTCAGCGCCGTCATCACCATTCGCAATCGTAATTCCGCGTGTGTTCTCTCCCTGACTGTTCTCACCTGGCTTGCCCCCCGTCCCCCTGTCCCCAAACGGATGCATCCAGAGCACATTCCGGCTGACTCCTCACCCGGAAATCAGAACGCGTCCCCCTCGGGCTTGGAGGGCTTGGGGCGGCGGCGAAAGAAGCGTACGAGCATTGACACGCACGTGCGCGTGGCTCTGGAGAAGAGCTTCCTGGAGGTGAGGCCCAATGAACAATCGTATCCTGCTCGCATAGGTGAATAGCCACAGGGCTTGCGGCATGGAATGTTAAAACGACAACTACTTTAATTTATCAACATCTCCGAGTGTACGGAATGTTTTGTTTTGTGTATGAAACTCAAGGAGCTGCGTGTTTGTGTGTGTGTGTGTGTGCGCGCGCTTGTGGTATACGCGTGGCTGTGTGTGCGTGCGCGCGCGCATGTCTCTGTCCGTGCATGTGTGCGTGTCGTAGCAGAACTGCAAACCGACATCGGAGGAGTTGAGCATGATAGCGGAGCAGCTGCACATGGAGAAGGAGGTGGTGCGGGTGTGGTTCTGTAACCGCCGACAGAAGGAGAAACGCATTAACCCACCTGCCAATACCCTGGTGCGTGCCGACTGTTAAAGGGCTTCGGTACGGGCTGTAGTAATGCAGAGGGAGTGCTGTGGGTGTGGGGCTAACTTTGGAAAAGGTTTTTTGGATGTTGGGGCTACGTACGCATACAAAGACTTGAACCTGTGTGTTTGCGTCGTGTTTGGTATATATGTAACGCTGAGTGCAAATAACGGACGTTGAGGCTTTTTAAAATGCAGGTTATCCTTGGCCTTTAGAGAGGCGTGGCCACTGATAACATGCCGGACGCATATGTATGTGTGCATGACAGGTAGAAAGCACCAACTCTAACGCGGTCGTGAGCTTCAACGCCGCAATGATGCCCCACTCAGGTACAACTCCCATCACGTAATCCTCCGTCGGGTTTTTGTCAAGTCAGGGGCGGTCCTTTCCGTTGTTCCCCCGCTTGCGAGCGCCAGCGTGTGCCCGCAACGATGGCACCTCCTTTCTGAGAACCCCTCGGTTTTGCGTGGCCGTGCAGGCTCGTCGCTGGGCAGCAGCAGCAGCGCATTGGTCACCACGGCGGCGCTGCCCTCCACACCCATCCCTGCCACCGGCTGCGAGATGCTGACGTCTCCACGGCAGCACTCGCTCTCCAGCGGGCAGATGGCGCAGCTGGCGGGGTGGGTCCACTGTTGCGAGAGCGGCCTTGCTCAGTCCTTAACTTCTTGCCCTGTCAATTAATCAATCGATTAATTAAACTAGATTCTTTTTTTTTTTTTGCTATGTGCCCTTCGCAATAATATTATCATGGAGCGCTTCGCAAGTGAACGTTACTATTGCGTCAATACATACGAGTTAATAATAAAGGTTTTTGGGTTCAATCGCATAAGTATAAATGTATCGTAACCCTCCACCACCCGCCACAGCCAGTAAGGTTTGTCATGTAAACAAAACGTGCCAATTAGTGACTACTTTGCCAGAATATCACCCGATGATGCTGGATGTAATTACCAGAGAAACGTCATGCTAAAATTGTAAATGTTGTGGATTTACTCTCCAACACTCCGGTGGGCTGAAGCAGTTACTAATTGGCACGTTTTGTTTACGTGACAAACCTTACTGCCTGTGTCGGGTAGTGGAGGGCTACGACACATTTATACTTACGCGATCGAACCCAAAATCCTTTATTATAAACAATATGAGTTACACAAAACAAGAAAAAGCGTACACAGTTAAAAATTAATGAGACAAATTATAAAACACATTTAGCTTATCCGATTGTGTTCATGGTGTGGTCCACATGAACACAATCTCGACCAGCACGCCGCACCATGAACACCCACATACACAGGTTGTTTTTTGTCCATCCCAATGTCCTTTTTCCCCAAGTTATTTTAAATTTGCTCAGTTCAATAAGCCTCTTAATTATTTTCTATCCCCCCTCATAAATAGTGCTGGTTGTTGCTGGCTGCTTGGCACTTTGGCCTTTGGATCTGTACTCAGCAACTGTGATATATACAAATATATAGCAAATAAACTCTCTGTGCATTGCTATCCCAAGGTGCTTCTGAAAATATAACTCAAACCCAGTGTCCAATCAATACATGTTCGATTGCTTCTAGGAACTGACTTCTAGGAAAAAAGTGTTGGATGTTCCAATAAATATAAAAGCCTAAGACTGAAGGACCTCATAAGTGGTATTTGAAAATGTACAATCAATCCTGAATTTAAGTAAGCACAGTGGCTGCAGCATTTTGAACCAATCCTGACCTTGTCTTGTTGTGTCATGTGTTTGAATTCTATTCTCTTATTCCCCTGTCAGTTCTTATTGTTCATTCTGTACTCTTCTTCTGCTAGCTGCCTTGCCCTGCTCCCGATGCACCCTGTACCCCCTAACCCCACCGTGCCCACTCAATTTTCTCCCCGCGTGAAACTCATACCTCTACATGTGCGACTACTGGTCCCGCGTGATCATCTGCGTGGCGGTTGTGTGTGTAACTCTGCCTGCTCCGCGCCGTGATGGTCGTGGTGGTGTTGTTTGTGGCGAGCGGCATGCAGCGGTTAGCGCACTGCCGCTACGAACCCGGTGACACGAGTTCGATTCCTGCTCACGGCCAACACCAGCGACGATTATCCGAACTGGTCCTGGGCGTGGTGCTGGCACCCACCCCCCCCCCCCACCCACCCCCCTCATGTGCCGTGCCGGCCTTCATAGGTGCTCTCTAACAGCACTTTCCCTAAGAATTGTTAAGGCTACACGGGGGATCTTTTCCATTGTCTTTGTTGTTTTCGTCGTTCAGGGGCACTGTCGTCAGCTTCACGCCGGCGCCACTGGCATCGTCCTCGGCCCCCACCTTTGCCACCATCCAGAGTATGGCGGCAGCACCCCGCACACTCGCCCCGCACACGATTGGCCGATGCTGAACCCAACTTATGCACCTGCACCAAATCGAAGTTGAGAACCTTCTGACCATCGTGTCCTGAGACCGTTTTGCCCCGTGAGGTTTTGTTCGTCGAGGTTTAAAAAATATACAGTCAAAAATTAGCATATTCCAATGCAAAAATGTTTGAATGTCTGTTATCAAAAGTAATTCAAATATCTCTTTAAGCTTTTGGGGTTGTCTCTTAATTAAGCTGCTACCAATAGAGATTGTGAATGAATGTGTCAAAAATGCAATGCACACCAGTGCGTGCTATTGATTCCACCACTTGATCCCGGCAAGGTCTGTTAGTATTTTTTTACATTGTCCGACGGTAATGTGGTGCTCACACCGTATTTACAGCGTCTGCCTTAACATGGATCTCACTCCCGTGACACCTTTCATAAGAGCAGGCCAACCGCGTGCCGTTGTCATGGGCTTTTGAAAAATCGCTCAACAAACGAACATTTCAAATTAAACCACTACCTCTTCAGTTCTTGCGATTTCACATGCGTCCATTTTTTTAGGCGCACAATCTAAATAATACATCACGACGATGATGCCGACCCCCCCCCCCCCCTTCCACTGCGTCTCCGCTCCGTACAGCGCTGCAGAGTGGGGGGACCCTGATTGACGGGAGCCTCCTGATCGGCAGCTCGGCGGGTGCCGCGGGCTCCACCCCGCTGTTCATCAGCGCTGCGGGGATCCCACTCGTCAGCACCGTGGTCACCACGCCCGCCGGCACCAGCGCGACCTCCGAGGCCACGGCGCGCGTGCAGTAGCCGCCGCGGTGACGCGCGTGGCCACTGCCTCACCCTCAACGGCCGCAGCCGGGCCTCGCCAGCGCCACGCTGGCTGCCGACCGGGCCGTGGCGATAGATGTTGAGGATGCGACTTCTGTGTAATGCGAACGATGTCAACAAACAACATCGGTGGGAGACTCGAGGAGAAACGGCGGTCGTCGTTGCTGACGGTGGAAACTTGTGTTTGTTTCCCTTACTTCGTCACCACGGCATTTGCTTTGTCCACCCCATCATTGCCACAGCCTCTGCAAAAAACCGACTGCCGAACTACTGCCACCACAGTAGCCGGGCGAGTGCAGCCCACCATGAGACTTGATGTGAGGGGCGGAGGGACTTCAGCTGCTGCTGCTGCACCAATCTCGGGACTGTAAACACGGCAGCCGTTGGCCAATTATTAACAGGTGGTGGATCAGGCTGTCGCTCAAAACGCACCGCCAGAGTGCCAGCGGCACGCGCGCCAGCCAGCCAACCGCCCTCATAAGCATCGCAAGCCCACATGGCAGTCACACCCTCCGCCCATGGGAACCGCAGGGCAGTGCTGACCCCAGCATAACCGTGCTTCTCGCGTTAACGCCGCCGCTACTTACGTTCGTTTTCAGAAATATCTGTGGCAATGCCATGGTGCGGTGCAAGGGGCCGCGAGTGCGCTGTTAAGGTTTTGGGCAGAGCATCGTGAAGTGGAGAGGCCATTTTTCTCCACCCCAACAAGATGAGCGGTTGCTCTGGGCCCGAGTGTGGATTCTCTCCAACACACCGGTGCCCTCAAGTTGTTCATCCGCCAGTGTGCACTTCTACTGAAGTGATAAAGAGATCAACTGTATCAGAGTGTATTCGGATGAAGCCCTATGGTACAACATTTTATAGCCTCCCCTGAACACTCGTGTGATGCATCTGAACGCACACCCTTGGAGGGTCACGGAGCTTTTCAGCAAGCATCCGTATGAAAAATTTGCAGATTATCCAAAGATTATCTCTGTGTGCTCTGTGTGTGTGTGTGTGATACATGTGCGGTCAGGAGACTTGTGTGTCCAGTTGAGATTGAATTTTTGAGTAATTTGTTTTCTTTCTCCACCCGTCGTGATGCGTCCGGTTGTTGCAGACCGTGGTGCGTCTGGTTGTTGCAGACGTGGTGAAGAGTGAGGCGCAAGCAACTATGGAAGTGCACAACTAGTTTTTGCCGATTCTGTCCGTTTCGCACACAGCTCTTGTTTTTAAATGCTTGTTCCACAGTGACGTAGACATGGTTTTGATTTGCACAAGGAGGATGGGAAGCTGAAGTTGGATTTGGCATTGTAAATGGTACATGCTGCATTATGAGGCTGTTTTACATTGCCAAATACGTGTAGCGACGCCCTTTGTACGTGTACTGTATGTTGAACTTCTTAACACAGGCTTTCGTGACCAATATCCATAATAGAGGTTTTTGGGATAGATTGCGTAAATATATAAGTGTGTCGTTAAACCCGCCACCACCCGACACAGCCAACTAGTAAGGGTTGTCACGTAAACAGGACGTGGCCAATTCGTCACTAGTACAGCACACCGGTGTGTTGGAGAGCCAAGCCACAACATTTACAATCTGAGCACGACGTTTCGCCAGTAATTACAACGAGCTTCATCAGGCGACAGCCAGAATTGGCCACGTTCTGTTTACGTGACAACCCTTGCTAGTTGGCTGTGTCGGGTGATGGCGGGTTTTAACGACACATTTACGTGATATAACCCAAAAACCTCTTGTGGAGGATGCTGAACTTCTTTCGCACCGTACGTAGCTAATTGTGCTAATCGGAGGTGCGGGGGAAGGAGAACAAACTAAGTCAGTTCGGAGAGCAGCCGGCTTTTAAACCTTCAGGTTTAACTTTCTGCCTTTAGGTCACAAGTTTGCAAATGTGTGCAGCAATCACTGCCTGCTGTCTCCTGCGGCCCGAGCAATAGCTTCCGCCCGATGGCTCGATGTGCTTTCTCACCCAGTACTCGTCGAGCTGCCACTTGGAACAGGCAGGGGCAGTTGGGAGAGGTGCGTGGGGGAATCGCCAGCACCGTTTAATGTTATAGAGGAGGCCTGGTCCTCAATCGGTCGGGCATTGTCGTAGGCATGGTCAGTGTGAAGGGTGTGTAGAATTTGCCAAGGGAGATGCAGCTGGGCAGTTCCAGCCACATTGAGTTGAAGACTACTAATCACTCTCTTCTCGTGTCCAACAAATCCATTGTCATCTGTGTGACGTTACTTAATACTGTACTTCCAAGGGTAAATTAGTGGCGCGCACTCATGTAATTTTGTGAATAATGATAATAAGACATTGTTAGGTAAATTAAGGTTAGTGCAGGCTGCAGTAGTCCCATTCTCTTTTGTGGATAGACACTGCTGCTTTCTCATCACAGTTCTCATTGCTCCGGTGTAGGATTTGTTTTCTATTTGCACATGAGTCCAACATTCGGGCATGTTGGTTTGGTTTCATTAAGCAATGTGCATTTGGGTCAATGGATTCCTGCTCATCACTTGAACCCGGTTGTTGGGAGTGCTTGGAGTGAGACAAAGTGCAAATCTAAGAGAGCTGTCCATCATCGTCACCCCCCCCCCCCCCCCCCCCCCACTGCATGCCGTTTGTAAACAGGAAATCTTCCATGTGCGCAGCTTTAAACAAAAATATAAATGCACGTTTGGTGAGCTTTAACTGCTTTCAGCTGGCACGGGGATACGGTGCTTTGTGGTCATGCAAAAAAATATAATCTATGAACTTGATAACCAGGGTCAGAGTTCATCGAGTTGAACATATGTTCACGTGAGATGTGACTGCATGCCAAGAATAATGTTTTGATGAGGGTTCGGTAAGGTTTTGAATCGAATAAGTAATGTGGCTCGGGGCAAGTCCTCCGCGTCAAACGAGGCAGCGTTACAGGAGGTGTTTATTGTAAGAATCAGAATATTTATTTATCTCGGAGGAATCCGATGAGCCATGAAGCTCTTTTTCACATATTTTTGATGCTACTCGCGTCGATTTTTTTTATCCGTCGTCGTCTTGCGACTTAGACAAAATCTGAAGGAGTCTGAACGCACGTCCCCACCTTGTCACTCGTCTGCCGCCTGCCGGCTTTCATCTGGAAGTGCTGAATTTGGGTGACGAAGCTTCTCTGCTCAGGATTCATTTCTGCATCGCACGGGGGAGTAACAGCCGATAAAGAAATTGGCCGCGCTCCTCGCAGCTGAATAAGTTTGGTAAAAGTAGAGAACTGGATCGAAATGACGACGGTCGTTTGTGTTTCAACATCGATTCAGTGGCACATGCAGCAGCGTCGAATGGTAACGTCCATTGGAGAGAGGGAGTTTTGACTCCCTTCATTGAGGGCATTCATTTATCTCTTGAGAAGTCACACCAGGGGAGCTCCTTTTGGTGTGCAGCTGGTCATGTATATGAGATCGAAACCTAGAGGTCTAGAACGTAATGTGTCACTTGTGCCTGCTCTATTGAATTGTGGGGAGCGGTAGTGGAGCGGTTGGCGAGCCACGCTACGAACCCGGCGTTCCGAGTTTGATTCCCGTTCACGGCCAACACCAGTGACGATTATTTGATCCGGTCCTGGGTATCCCCAAGATCAACTCTGCCTCAAATCAATACCTGGTGCGGTGTGTAAACATCGCCACTAGGAAGACAAAGGCGGCCTAGCATGGTACTGGCAATTGCTCGTGTGCCGTGCCGGCCTTAATAGGTGCTCGCTAACAGCATTAATTGTCTTTTGGGGCTCTAATTAAATTGAGCACTGCAGTCACAGCACTTACGGACTCTTAAGAGATTTATTTTTCGCAATGCAGTCCAAATGAATGGCAGAACGGTGAGTGGGGAATGTATTTGATGCAGACCCCAGTAGGCGTGACAAAAAACCCGGGCTTTGCGCGCTTGGTCCTCCTTCCACAGAAGTTGCTACCCCCGTCCGAGTGCGACTTGTTGTTGGAGCGAGACTCCCCCCGAAGTGCTTTTTGCCCATTCAGTGCAGCGTCAGCTGGAGCTCCTGCCCGAGAGTGATGTTACAGTTCGTGGCACCCAGTGCGCACATTGCTGCACAGCGTTCGAAATGTCTCGAGATTTACGCTTTCGGCACTCAAGTCGGCCGCTTGCTTAAATGCTCTTCGTTTGCCTTCCTTGTAGCTCTTGAGTCTTTAAACAGTTTGCACTGGCGCTCCGTAGAGATGCTGTGTTGCGAGATCGGCGTTTCTCCGGACCTCAAAATACTTCGCATCATCTCCCCCTCCTGGGAATGTTGGCAGGACACCCCCCCCACCCCAACAACAACGACAACCGCCTCCTGAAAAACAGAGTCCTGTGACTCAACGGGGACTTTCCTGGATAAATAGATCTTCAGCAAGTGTGAACCCCTTCTGAGTAAGTTCTGACCACCTTTATATTTGCCCCGTCGCCTATTCAGTCCGGCGGTCGACGTGGCTCTCATCCGTGCACCTCGCTGCCTCCGTTTCAGATGCCCCCCACCCCCCCATTCAGATGGCTGTGCTGTGGGCAACGCATTGCGCACGCAGTTGGATGATGAAGAAGAGGGAAGCAAACACGGCGACATTGTAATTTAATTTCATCGTATCTTGGGGTTTTGTAGTTTTCAAGAGGTTACGGGTTTATTACAGGTGAAATAATACTTAAAATATTGTTTAGTTTGATTTAACACGTTTTTATGGTCTTTTTTTGTATATACTATATAGCGGTGGTAGTAATCCAGTGAATAATTACATTGTGATGTTTTTAACAAGAGTATATTGATTGATAAACGCCATTGGCTCCGCAACCTGGGTGCCAAGATCCACAATTCGGGGCCCTGGATATCCGCATTGGGCATCTTCAGGGTGAGGGCCCTAAAAAAACGTTTATTTTTAATTCGAAATATTTTATTTTATTTGCAGGGAAAGTGATGTTGGGAGCCAGTGGATTCTAAAACATTATTTTAACATGTACATTCTTTTTTTTATATATATTTGTGTTACGTCCTGTACATATAGAGATATAATTCTTTTTTTTTAAAGGTTCAATGACAGCCTGTGAAGAGATTTGTGCGCATGCGCAGATGTACGTAAACCTCTATGTGCGTCCTCTTTAAAAAGTTCTTAAGCGCTGACTTCTATTGCTAGTTACACAGTTACGATGCTTCATTCCCATTTAGCTGGGTCGACGCTTTCTTCCTAAGGCGATGCAATTGGTCGCGAAAGCCGAACCTGTTTAAAGGGCACACTTTCGGCGGTGATGAGAAAAACCACGTTAGCCTTCGGACTGGCGTCACACAAGTCCGGGTCACTGCACATCGGAACTTATAAAACATAAATAATTGTCGGTGCCTGTTGTGTGCGAGATACCGATGCCCTGAGAAATAGCGTTGGAAGCCAGTTTGCATCGTCGACTCTACTTGTTCATCACCGAGTGCTTCTGAGTCCAACACCGATTGCGGATTGGCTCCAGCGGGGTTTTTATACTCTTTGGTTCTATTCGGTAAAGTCACGTAGGTATTTTTTTTTTTACCTACGTGACTTTACCGAATAGATCCAAAGAGTATGGATCCTTGCAGTCACGAAAGCTTCAAATCTAGAATCCAGCGGGGTTTTTTTGTTGTTGCGCTCAATGTCGCCAATTCGGCGAGCGCTGTCCACAACCAGCCTTGCACGCAGCTGAACTGTGCGTGCGGCCGATGAAGACTTTTGATGTTCGAGGTGGCCAATATCATGGTGGAAATTCCCAACGGCAGTGTCCGGCAAAAAAAATGCGCATTCTGTTGACAAAAAAAAAGATATACTTAGGTATTGCTGTTATTACGGCGTCGGTTTCTTGTGCAAGGTTCCGCGACCAGTTTGCAGTATTGAGTTCACGACTTTCCGTGCGTCTACCACCCCTCACTAACTCATTACGGGGTCGGACTAGGTAAGCGCCTCCCACTGAAATGAAGCCACACCCCCCCCCGCCTGCTCGAGTCGGAAATAAATTATTGGTTTCACGTGGTAATGTGTCGTTGACCACCTATGAAAACCAGATTTAGCCAGAGTACTAAAATCTTAGCTCTTTCGCTAAAGTATATTTTATTATTTTATTGTTTCCCTTCAACGTGACTTTACTGAAAGAGCTAAGAATATGAATTACTGCAGTCACGAAAGCTTTAAATCAAAATACTAAAATCTAGTTTAATCTTAACCCAGTCTAAAATGATGAATTTATGTCCACCGATTAACTAGGCCGTGACGTGATGAGATTACTCATCGCTTATGCAGAGGCTTCCTGCATGACTAGTTGTACAGGAATCGAGTAGTTAAAATGCTCCCAATTTCTTTGGAGGTAATTTTCACATGATATTGGCAATGACGCAGATACAGTGGATCTACTCTTGCGTATTGTGTCACAGGGTGTTTAATGTCCACTTTACGTTGCACAGTGCAATTTTGTAATCGCTATGTAACACGAGCAGTTCGACAAATTCAAAGACAGTTCAGTGCAACCATTTTGACTAAACCATTAATTACAACGATACAATAAAGAATATAGTACGTACACATTTAAGCAATGGGAAACATTTTTTTAAATAAAAAAAAGGTTTATTCAAAACTGAGTTCATGAAAAGTGTTTTACGAGTAGCTTTCTGTTGCGCTGGAACAATTTTCTTTCATGTCAAAAGGGCTAATGATGAATATGGTTAACCCAGCGCAGGTGCACGCCACATACGTCACGGAAGTTAACCTCACGTGAATACACATAGGGCCATGACGATGCATATAAAAACAAATATTTTTGTACCGTCAGCAAGACAGACTTTCGCTTACTGTAACAGTAGCTCGTACGGCTCGGGTTTGTGCTCGTGCGCGTCCCTCTGTTGGCCAGCAAGTCGCCGGCACGCGCGCGCGCCTCCGATCTTGACCCCCTCGAACGCTCGGACCCCCATGACCTCGTGCTCGCACCTCCCCTGGGATCGAACGGGTACAGAAGAAAAGTGGCTGTGGATGTTGGAGGAGTGCACCATTTACTTAAATACCTCATCTGTCTAGAAACCAAATGTCTAGCTTGTCCCCAGTTGCACAGTTTGGGAGTTGCATTGTTTCGTGGCTTTGTGCGTTCACGCGCAGCACTGCTTCAAATCGTGATCGATGGCGAGCTCAGTTTGCTAATTAGGATGTGTGATGGGCGAACCTAGAGACGGGACCGCGATGATGAACGTGCATGGGGTTCAGGTTTAAGTTGCTGCATGGCACTGGATGTGCGTATTGCTCCCTCGCCCGAAACAAGGCGTGAATCTCGCGCACGGTTCGCTTTGGAACGCTCTGCAGCGGAACGGCCTCGCACCCGCCTCGTCACTGGGATTGTTTCGCGCAGCATGTGAGAGGCGTTCGCTTCGGACCGTTCCATTTCGTGTCGGGGTGACGTGTGACGTTCCTGCCACCGGGTGTCCCGTTCCGATGTGCAGGCTCTTCCCTGCTGCTTTGACGATTGTTCCACCCCCCCCACCACCACCCCCCGTCACGTAATCACCTCTGTGGGTGCCTCTTGAATGCGATGCATAGGTGAGGTGCACGCTTGCATTCTACGAATAATAAGCGTAGCAGTTGTGACACTCCAGTCCCCTCGACCCCTCCCCGCGGTGCATCTTCAGTTCAGCTTTCCCCATTTTTTTTGTCATGTTCACCAACTGAATTGGAAATTGGATAATCGGTGGCACGCGTTTTCCATTGGTTGGTGAAGAAGCTGGACTGGTAGGTGGCTGTGTGAGTTACGCGAGGGTTCATTACCATTGGTTTCGTATGAAATGCCATTCGTTTTTATCTCATTGTAGCATTCTGTGGGATAATTGTTTAGTGTCTGAATCGGCTGAAATAAATTATCCACGATTCACGTACATTTCCCAGGTGGGTTTAATACATTTAGCAGGATAATTGTTGAGCACACGTGCTGCATCGATACTTATGGTTTACATTCTGTCTTAGACACACTTGTCCTCTTTACAACTCCTCCCTTATGGTTCCCTTATATGAACAAGTCATTTTCATATCTGAATAATTTGCATTGCATCTGGAGGAGTGGTAATGGGCGGCGGGGGGGGGAGTCTTAAGGACTGGGACATGAGACAACACCCGGGACAACGTCTGGTGTCTGTCATTAACATGCTTTTGAGTTTTCACTGTGGGTCACTGTCAGCACCTCTGGCCGTGCCCAGCGTAGGTCTTGAGAGCTGCCCATCACTGCTACGTTTCACGAGGCCTCGTTCACCAGCAGCTTTCCCTAACCCCACCACTGCGCACCCGCTTGCTTGCGTGTTTGAGCCACGTAGCCCGAGGCCTCGAGGCTCGACCTGCGAATGCAGAGCCACGGGCGCGGTGTACACTCTGCTGCTGCTGCTGGCAAGGTGCCACCGTTATGTCCTACTGCAGCTGGTGGGTTCGAGCCTCTGGTCCCGGTGAGGGGGGTGGGGGATGCGACGGACCGCGTCTGTACGCAGAGCGTTGTTTGTATTCGTGGTTTGCGCAAACAAGTGGCGTTAAGCGTTCGCCGTCCGCGTTAGCTGCGCGGGTTCCTACGACGTCCAGTGGTTGTAGCTTCTCGAGCAGAATGTGACGTTCATCTCAAGTGCTACGTGCAACTCCGATTGTGAACTGTAACGAGACGAGCGAAATGATTTGTTTTTTTGTTTTGATTCGTTTCGAAAACCAAAGAAGCATTCTTTGCCCGGAAGGATCCTCAGCTCGGGGCGTCCGTCCGGGTGCCTGAATAATAATTGTTTTTTTTTTACTGAAAATTTGTAACTAAAACCAAAACTGAGTGCTGTACTGCTGTCCGTGTGAATGTGTGCACATACGACTTGTACAAACTGACCCTGTCGCCTTGCTTTATCGTACAGTGCCATTAAAACGCTTCAGCGGGTTCGATCGGCTCGCTCACTCGCTCGAGGAGCCGCCCCGTACGTCGATGCTCGTGGTGACTCCTGCATTGGTGGGATTTGCCCCCCCCCCCAAATCCCTGGTGGTTTTTGTACTCTTATAACGTGTGGTGTGCTGAAGCAGCCGACGAATACTGAACACTTAAATCAATGACTACTTCACATAATTTCCCCGCTTTCCCAGGGGGTTAACGGAGGGCCCTCGATTTGCCATGATGAACTTGAAGCCTTGCCCTTCACCTCGGCATGACTTTTATTATAGCAGTGTAAAGAAACGTTCACAGAGAAAATAGAATGCAGTTTATAATTATATTACACACGCGAAATCGCTGGCGCAGTGCCAGTGGTTTGGAATTTCTCTATGTAGATTGTCCATTGAATTCTAAGTTATGTAGTTTTTTCGGGTTTGCTTAAAAAGTCTCGAGTATCATTCCTCTAAACCTACTCATACATGCCTGGTCCATGGTCCAGTTTTATTGTACGATCAGTTTTCTGCACATTCACCCGCAGATTGGTTATTAGGGTCCACCGAGCGCATCTTTTCACTGATAAATACAAAAGTTTTACCATGGAGGGGGGAGGGGATTATGCATGACATAGAGGAGTTTAATAATTACGACATGAAGTTTAAGGAGACCTTGTCTCGTGTGACGTTACATCTGACCCTGCACATGCGGTCAGGCGACACCAGGCAAAGCTGGCCCTGTTCATCTGGCCCATCGTGTAGCAGCTCCCTTCACCCTTTGACTATCACTGTTATGTTCTAATACAACCTTAATATATTGGGTTTTCTTAAATCATGTATATTTGAGATTTTGGTACTCCTGTATTTTAAGTATTAAAGGTATCTAGTAAGAGTGGCCTTGCGTTTTGCCTGCCTTCCAATGAGTGCGTATTGCCAGGTGCTTCTGTTGGTATCCTTTCCACACATCCATTACCTTGGGGGAATTGATCTGGATCCAAGTTGACTTCACTATTTAAGATTTGTCAGGACGATGGTTCTTCCGGCTGTGTACAATTTTGTTCAGTCAAAACGTGAACCACCTACAATTCAATTAACATTTCTACCTTTAGTGTTGCAAGTCATTTTTGTTTACTGCTAAATAGACACATCTATGCTCCCATGCCTTTTTAGACCGACCTAGCCGAGTTATTTGTCCCAATTACAGAACCTGTCGTGATTTGACTTGCCTCTGAGAAAAGTTTAGAGCTATGGTTGAAAAGATACATCTCCACCTGCAAGCTCCTCTTAGGAGGATCAGGGCCCACTCAAACAAAGAGAGTGACACTCCAGTGCAGGTGCCTCGGGGTAGGGTGTGCACGTATTTAGAAGGGTATTTTTGGTTGGCAAGAACTGGTTGGTTGCACTTCCCGAGCGATATAGTTATTGCATTGCATTGGCAATGGTGGCATTGACACCTGTGGTAAACAGGTTATTACGTGATAGAAAAACGACATAACTGCTCCCCCCCCCCCCCCCCTGTATTACATTGTATAGTCACCTAACCCATGTTATGCAGTGCATTGAGTACACGACTAATACATGACAGAGGCCTTTTTTGTGTCTGTAACATCTCAACAGTACACCCGTTAAATTGACAATGGTGGAATCTCAATCACTGGGCAACCAGAAGGCTCAGAGTCGATGAGCACCAAAACAAAGTATGGGTGTAATGAAAGATCATTCAAAAGTGAAAGTATGATCTTTCATTACACCCATACTTTGTTTATGAATGTGAAATTATGATGTTCTGGTTGACAGCGAGCCTTGACCGTACTGAAGCATATGCAATAAGAGAACTGTGATTAATTATTATATCCAGGCGATGTGGGTGAAGACGTTTGCTGCCAAGCCCCACTGCCATCAAGGGAAAACAAGCGCCAACAAATATGTCGCCGTTTATTTGCAAAGAAAACACAAAATATGGTCGACAGACGTATAAAGTACAAAATGATTTAACATTCCAATAACCAATAAAAGTAATTTAGAACATGGAAATGCTTGTTTCTATGAAATGAGCACGGCCATTATCCAATCCCTCGTCACATAACTGATGGTGCTTTTATTTTACAATTCTACAAGGGATGAACAAAAGTAGAAGAACCACCACCCTGGATGTATTGCTGGAGAGCAGGAAAACGGTTTAGAAATTGTACATCTGCCGCTCCAGCCTCAATCCCCACAAAAGCGGTGAGTTTTTGAAGCAAACGGTTCATCTGTCCACACAAGATATTAACCATGCTGTTATGACACTTATACACATAAGTCACTTGGCAAACAAAGAATATATCAAACTTACAATGAATACACAAGTAGTAAACAACACGCATTTTAGCATTGGCGGTATAAATCTAATGTAGGTGCATTATCGGCATGGATGGCACCTGTAGGTATTTACAGATGGATGTTAATGATCTGTGCATTTCTAAAAGATTCATTTCGGGGCAGCAACGGGAGAAAATTACTTTTTCTTAATTGAGTAATACCACTTTGGCATCTATCATGTAAAACTGCACTTCGTTTTGTTGACAAACGTGCACATGCCATGTGTGAGGAAGAAGGCTGTGAGATGATGCCATTTGTTTGAGCGTTGCTGTCAAACCCCGAACCAACCAACTTGGACAAATGAGACGGTGTCATGATCCGAGGACGTTTTCGGCATAAAAACAGACAACACTGGCAGTGCCCCGAACACACAGGGTTTAGAGGAGCATCGTGAAGCAACTGCCTCAATACAATCCCATGTGGACTCACGGGCGCTGGCGTGAGGTCTGGGAAGAACGGTCCGCCACGCTCTTTACATATCCGAGGCCTCGTGTGGCCATGCAAGAGAGAGAATTGCCACGATTTTTTTTTGTTGCTTTTGCATATAGCTGCGTAATACACGTCTGGTGTCAAATAGAAAATGTGTGGTGGATGGTACCACAAGACTCAAGAAAAATCTTCATTTCCATATATTTTTTTAACTGATAAATAAAATTGAGTAACATGAAGTCATATGGTGATTTGGCGAGCCACTGTTGGTTATCGCTGTTTTAACGCCTCTGTTTAAACAATTGGGGAAAATAAAAAGTTTACTTGTCAGGGTTTTTGTAAAATTGCCATTCTGGGGTTGGTGTCTGCTCTGAAACACATTTCCACAATGCAGACACCACAGCTGTAAGCTATGTTACATACACCTGCATATATACATGGATGCCTGGTGGAGATTGGTGGAAATGCTAAAAGTTCTCAAAAACCAGACTATAGTCGTGTTCACAGATGTACCAAGACACCTGCATTAGCTGACGTGGCAATGCAATTAACCTAGCCCAGATAAACAAAAATAAAATAATCAAATAAAAGCCTGGAAAACTACATCCTTCATTCACTGCATTATTAAATTACACAATAATACATGGGCAGAAGATTAAGTGCAACACTATACATAACTTTTTTTACATTCATATACATCTTTCCAATTAGCTTGCACCAATTGGAAAGATGCAAGCCGCGAGGGGGGGACCTGGCCGGCTGGTTGTGAATGCTCGTAAAGTGGCACGGCCTCTGGCTTCGAGGTCTGAGCTCGGCCCCAGCTGAGCTCGGCCCCAGCTGAACTCGGGCCTTTTGTCCCTGCCATGCGAAGACACACTCTGATCAAACTTTAACTCGTTCAATTCTACTCTCCACCCCTATTTCATTTACCCCGAACCAACCTTAACACCCGCGAATATCTTGATATGAAGTTGAGATTATTCCTAACACCTGATTTTCTAACCTACTTTTACACTACCCTACTAAGGCATGTCATTATTCCTCAATTAAAGATTATTCTCATGATACATGCATTACGTTGTATTGCTACGCATTGTATGTAGTTGGTTTACATGACCCCTGCAAAAATTTGAGGTGCTACAATCGCCACAATGCAAATAGTGACGGTTCATCGAATCGAGGGGAGGAGAAGCATTAAATAACTCATCCTAGCTAACCAGTCATTACAACCCACTAATTGAGCCCTCATTTAACGTGAATCCATTAAAACAACTCTTTGTTCTTACTCTTCCTAATGACTTTACTCCTAACCTGTTGATTTGCAATGCAGTAAACCCTAGTTTGTCATCTAACGATAACCATGCTATCATTGCCTATATACAAATACCTCGATCCACAAATAGATATATATATTTTTTCCCACTTGCACGCACCCCCCTGCTATTCAGAGTCCCACATTGATTGACCCTGGGCATGACATCATGTTGACTGCTTCTTTCGTGTACCCACCAAGCTCCCTGACTCGCGGAGCACACAGCCTGATAGCAAGTGCCGGTATGTGTACCGTAGACGTGGGGCACCATCTGTACACGCGTGCACCTGGTTGCCAGGCACAATCTGTACGCGTGTGCACCTGGTTGCCTGGCACCACCGTTCCTGCAGGGCCCCCGGTGTCATCAGACAGACCCAGGGTAGGCACAAGTGCTGAATTCTGGGACTTTGTGCAAAACGTTTCCTCTTTACTTACAGCTTAAGAGTCTGGTACAAGTGTGTATTCTAATACGTAACCTGGAGGCTATTTCTACGGCCTTTTGTAAAAAGAATTTGGGGACATGTGCAGTTGGTTTAACAGACCTGTACTGAAAGTAATTATCTCGATGATTTAATTTTTAAATGTACAGTATTCGTGACACTACCACCAAATGTTTGGATACTTTTTTTTATACATTTAGTTTGAACATTCCATTTGTCTAAAACAATCGGGCACCATAGTGAAATACATTTATTCTGGGCAACAGATGATGAAATATTAAGTGTTTTTAAAGCATTCAAATTTAAAACCAAAATTTTCAAAACTTTATCACGTGCTTTTAACGTCAATAATTGTCGACAGGTTATGGCACCTAATTTACCTGCATAGTTAAATATATACTATACATATGGTGCATTCAGATTGAAATTAAATGTCACTTTTAAGCTGTAAGACTGCCCTCACCTTCCACTTTGGTTCTTCCAATTAAAATGCAAATACACTCATTTTTCACCTTTAATTTTAAATTATTTCCCCACTGCGCTGTGGCACTCATGCCAAACTGGCGTGCCAGTCGTAAAAAGGCTGGCGCGAGGGAGGGCAAGGGAGCGAGGGGCGGCGCGTCACTTGCGCATGACGTGGATCTCGTCGCCGTCCCGCACGCCGTACGTGTGCACGTTGCGTCGCGGAAAGCGCATCTCTTCGACAATTTGGGCGCCCATGTTCTCGGCCACGTGGAAGATGCGGATGCGGCACGTGCCCTCCCGTGACTCCAGCGCCTCGCGCAGCTCCCGCTTCAGCTGCGCCACCGTCTGGTCCAGACGGATCGCCAGTGCCCTGCAGCAGCCGTCGAAATGTACCTGCACTTGCGCGACATCTTTCGGCGTCAGGTCCACTTCGGCCAGCGGCTCCAGCTGCCCGTGCCGCTCCTGGAGCTCCGCCAGCCTGGTTTGTGGTGGTGATGGGGGGGGGTGAGGGGGTGCAGGGTGAGGGGGCGGGTAGGAGGGAGAATAATGCAGGAGTAGTGGAAGCATGCCGGAGAGAAGTTATTCAGTCTATGGATGACAAGGCCGGGTAGTAGCCCACACGCCGCTTCTTCCAGAGGTTCGAGGTTCGCGGCCTGCGGCTGCCCTGGTTAATACTGCAGGTGTCTTTCCATAGAATACATGCCGACTGCTTCACATGGGATTTCAATGAAAAAAATAGTAGGAAATGTGTGCAAGTGTCATGGTCCAAATTCCCGAAATGAAAAAATTACATCGCAAGGTACCCAATTGTTTAAAACCACAGAATATCACCCCCTACTGTGAAACTGCTGCAGACGATATTCATCTGTAAAAAAGTGCATTCGCCATAGCCTTGCACTATGAGAATGATGCGAATACCAAATGCACGAATGATTTGGATTTGATGAATTAGCCAGGAAATGTCTTCATTTGATGTGCTGTGGATTGCTTCAATGAACCCACTGAAGTTTAGGAGTTAACAGGAATTCTCTACTATAAGATCGGTGATCTGGTGAGTGTTTCCACAAACGCAGCCGGGATTTTTTTTAACGTCCACTTGTGAAGGTAGTGGGCGAATCTGCCATCAGGAAATTGAATGTAGAGCCTGTGAGTACACAATGGCTGCTTGGCCAATGTGCAAGAGTGTGGCGCCTCAAATCCTCAAAGCCTCCCTCCCTCTCTCTTCCCCCTCAAGCAGTTGCCTGTTGGTTACATACAAAAGTGGGTTCCCCCCGGTAAACTTTGGGTAAGCCAATGCAGTGGACACAGGGATTGGTGGAAAACATTTGTGAAACATTCAAACCCGCAGGGGATGCAAGACGGTCAGTATACCTCAGTTGAGCAAATATGTTCACAACCCATCTCTGTGGACCTGTGAGTGTCACCGCTGTGCACACGCAAGTTTTCTTTGGTTATTCCGCTTCCTTCCACGTGAAAAAAAATCACTTCTGAAAAAAGAATCGGGCAAACATCCGAATGCAAGATGCGCCTGAAAAAAGAGTCTTGATGTTGAGCGAGGCTTTCCTTGATAAGAAAAACCTACGTTATTATTATAACTACTGTTATAGCTCACGGAGGAGCCCTCACCGGGGAGGCTGCTGATTGGTGGGGAAGTCCATGTAGTACCGGATGAAGAACCTCTCGGCGTCTTCCCGCTCGCTATCGCTCACCCAGCTTCCGTTGAGCACCTGCACCGCGGGGAGCCTGCAGGAGAGGCCCGACAGCGCTCGGCACGCTTGGCGCGCAGGGAGCACGTGACGCTGCGCAGCCTAATGATGCGCGGCCTAACGGGTTGACCCCACGATTGCGTGACGACGGTGACATGCCACGGTGCGCCAAACATGCGGCGTCAGGCCAACTCGGTGCTGGGGTGGCGGGTTTGCCGCAAGCGGGACTGGAAACGTGTGCACACGTACGGCTCAAGTAGGTGGACCTTGAACAGCAATCTGCAGCGTACGTCTTGGGTGTGTGTGGGTATGTGCGACTGCGCTAGAGTCTGTGAACATGTGCACGTGTTTTGAAGTAAATGTGTGAGGGTGCATGTGTTTATACAAGTATAAAGATTAAGGAACACGCTGACAATTCATAACATGATTAATATTGGTCGCAAAAGCCTCGGTGTTAAATTGACGCTGACAATTCTCAACTCATTTTACCGCACACCAATTATAAAAGCAAGAATTGAAATCAAAAGATTCAAAATATTTATGAAGCTGCATGATTGACTTTTAAAATTGGTATACGGTAAACGGCCTTAAAAAATTGTCAGCCTACCGCATATATCGGTCGCACTGGTAAGTACTTATATGTGTCTGGGAGTCTCCTAGTGGGGAGCACAGGTGATGAATCTGCCAGTCATCTCTGTTAACCCATAACACCCGAGTCTGTCGAGTGACCTCCTGACAGTGAGCATTCCACAGTTCTCCATAAAAAAGGTTTTTTGGGTTCGATCGTGTAAATATAAATGTGTCGTTAAACCGGCAACCACCTGACAGATAATTAGTAAGGTTTGTCACAAACAAAATGTGCCAATTAGTCACTACTTCAGCGTACCAGTGTGTTGGAGAGCAAACCCACAACATTTACAATTCGAGTACAACGTTTCGCTGCTGATTACAACCAGCTTCATCAGGTGCTTAGCCAGAATTGTGCAGAAGTCTTCACGTGATTTCTTCACGCAAAAAAAACTTTATTATGGACATTTGGTCACATTCCACAGTTCGCGTGGCCTCAAATTTCGCTTGTAGCTTGGCACAAGTGCTGCGGTGACATCGCCACCACTGAGTGGCGAATGGCGGCTGTGATGTTGCTGCTGTTGTCTGTGCGAGTGCGTGCCTTTGCCTGCGTGCGTGCGGCTTATAATGCCTGCCTGCCTCCATGGGCTCTCACCTGGCGACGGTGAGTTTGCGCCTCTGCTCATCATTATACTCGGACAGTAGGGGGATGCCCAGGAGACGCAGCTCTTCCAGCGACGGAAAGTGATTCAGCTTCTCCACGTCGGACCAGTCTGACAGGCCTGAACGATGCACAAATGCACGCGAGGCGACAGCAACAATAAAATCTCATTTGGGTCCATCATTTCTGCAAACTACAATTAAATAGGGACAGTTATTGATTGAGGCAATGCATTCTAGTGCTGGTGAATTGGTAACTTTAATCCTGCAGATTACTTCTGGAAATTACGGAAGCAAACAGTCGGCTGAAACTGAATGCTGCAGACCGCGTGGTTACATTTGCAAATGTGGCAAGGAAGGAGGAAAACGGCAGGGCTTTTAGGCAAAGCGGCTCATGATACACGAATTTCCGAATGATTGCCTGCTGCACCACAGGTGGGCTGAGCAGCCTTACCCCAGTTGTGCAGGTTGAGGTGCTTCAGGTTGGTGAAGGCTTGCGTGAGCTCTGCCGGCTCAGAGCTCAGGCTGCCCACACGGTTGTTGGACAGAACCATGGTCTCCAGAGATGGGAAGATGAGGCCCAGCATGAGCACATCCTGCCACTCGCCTGCGCGCACACAATGCCGCCACGCACACTCTGCAATTCTATGCTGTACCACGATGCTAAACCACGTCTACGCTCCCTGCCTTCAGCACCGCGCGGTGAAGTATGGTCCCCATGATCAGCACCGCACGAAAGGGCCCTGCATGCATTATGGACACCACTTGCATTTGCAAATACCACACGTCGCTTTCTCGACGCAGACACTGGGTTTTAAAGGCGAGCACTGTACTTGCTGCACTTCCGGAGGCATCTCCACCACTCGTGGGAACTCTGCACGCATGATGCACCATGTTTAAAGGTTAGAGCCTCACGGAGCTGGTTGTCGGTGATGTGCAGCAGCTTCATGTTGTGGTAGACGTCAGGCGACACCACCACCGTTGTATAGTCGTTGAGGCACAGGAACAACTCCTCCAGCCTGCGGGAGATACAAGAAAAGATCCATCGACCGCCTGTGATCACTCAAGTGCAGTGTGAGTTCATGGCCTCACCAATGGGCAGCCCAAACAAACCCACCGCATAAAATTTGGTCCCATACTTAATTTGTCTAAATTCCAGCTCTGAGAATTACAAAAAGATCAGTTTGACTGTCATCTGATGAACACAACTTAGTGGCGGAGCAAGTGTTGCTCCCCTATATTGTATGCACTTCAGAAGGGATCTCAGATGTAGCTCGATGATATCCGCTTCCATGGGCCATTCTCTAACATGATAAATTGCACTGCTCTGCAAGAGAATAAAATGGATACTTCATCTCATGACATGACATCGATAGCACAAGAGGGATATAAAATTAGGGGAATTTAAAAGAAAAAACAGTCAGGCCTGGAGCCACACGTAAAGCGTGCATGAAGGTGTGGGTCTGCACTCAAAAAAAGCGTTTTTCGAAAGCGATCGTGTATTGGTGCACTCCAGGCTGCCTCTGCTTACTGTGGCATATTTCTCAAGAGGGTGTGAACCGTTTCCCAGGACGTCTTGGTGTTGTTGAGTACCAGCTTGCGCAGGGATGGCAGGCGCAGGCTGGGTGGTGAGGGGCACGTCCCCAAAGGGTTGGCGCTCAGGTTGAGAAACTGCATCCTCGGCATCTGCCCAACAATTTTGCCGATCTGCAGAGACGCACTCGGCAGTGACTCCCCCATCCCCACATCTTGCTTACGACCAAACCAGCAGCAGCTTCAAAGCGTCGGCCAAGTCTCTACACATCACCTCGGACACGAGAATCCAATGCTCACGGTAAAGCCTTGTGAGTTTCACCTTGTTCAGCTGCAAATCCTGAATATTGAGGTTTTGACATCAATACATTTCATGAGACAATATTAGACGTATGGCCTAATAATGCAAATCAACATACAAATATGCCTCTAGTTGTTAGCTGCTGTGAAATATGGATCAGAAACATTAGATATTGACCGAATGTTACAAAAAAGCTGGGGTTTATTTTGTTGTATTGCTAGATATGTGAGAGACAGAAATGTATTAGAGCAGTGCTTCTTAAGCTTTATTGCAGCCTTGCACCCCTTTGGTTCTCAATCGTAAAAATTGTTAATAAATACATGTTTGATGAAACAAAGTCGTTCTACTTATGTGCCCGTGCTTAATTTGTGTTTTAATGATTTACCTTCTATCTCGCACCGCCAGAAAGGGCATCTCGCATCCCCAGGAGGTGCGTGAACCCCAGGTTAAGAACCACTTTATTAGAGGCCTTCATACAGCAGTGGACACATCAGGGCTGCTAATGATGATGGCTTATGATGAAACCAGTTATGATGGCATTAGTATGTTTCATTGATAAGTCTATAAATGACTTACACTACGTAACAAAAATGTCCGAAAACCATAGAATCAATGAGACGCTGAAACAGAAAAAAATACACAGACTGTGGTCGCACAACAGAATAACACAAAATGAACATGCGCTACAAATCAATCGCCATTTAATGACCTGCTGCATAGCTATGGCGGTGGAAACACACGGCTGACCGTTGACATACCACTGTACTGTCAGGACTGTTGTGTATGAGAGTGAATAATACGCTCATAATTACTTTCTGTAGCACGGCACGCAGTCCTGGCTGCCAGCCGCCTCACCTCTTCCCAGTCCTTGAAGCTGTTGTGCGATAGGTCGAGCTCGGTCACGTGACTGCACAGCTCCAATATTTGTGACTCGTCACCGGCAGCTGCGATGTCGCACATGTTGAGCACCAGGATGGGAGGCACGTTGAGATAATCTGCTCGCGAAGGCACACAGCCACCGCACGTACAACCAGCCTTTACTTTTAAAAAATTAAGATACTTTTCCCATAATTGTATCCCAATTGTGCTATCAGCATCATGTTACGAGACAAAGCTACCATTCTCACATAGCAGTGCAGGCATCTCTGTGAAGAAAACTACCTGCAGAAGTGGATGTCACAGAACTACCTCTGATATCGCTGTGTAATGGTTTGTTCCTGGGTAGTCAGTGTTATTTCCTAATTGCTTATGCCTCAAAAGTACAGAAAATGGCTATTATTCCCAACAAACTGTGCTTTTGTGACCAGGACAGTGATATTTTTTGTATTTTTCCAGTGCTGAGTAAACTTGGAGTAACTTCTAGAACATTCTAGAACTTTCCAGTGGCCTTAAGCCCACCAGTTCACTTAGTTCTAGCTGCCTAAGCGGATACAGATGTAGTGACTGTGCTTGTCACTGTATGGTGCCGGGGCTTGCGAAGCCACGGCCGGTAATGTGTTGTCATTATGGGCAGCCCGGATTACGGGATGTAGTGCCAGCCCTAGCGGGGTTTGGGTGAGCGCTGGTTAGCGCGGAGGCACCGCGAGCAGGGTGCGGTGCGGGCTCCCGGTGAGGGAGCGAGAGGGAGCGTCAGCCAGCCAGGGTTACCTTGGGGCATGATACGCTAGTTGACCTGCTGACACGTGACCGGACGATATTGGACGGGGCCACCAGGGGACATGGGGCCGTGGGGTGGTCACGTGGTCCACAGGAGCTCTCGGGAACCTTCGAGAAGGAGCTCGAGAGACCTGGAAGGTGGGCGGGGCGACGGGCGGAGCCAGCCCCAGCCTAGGGTCATATAACGAGGGCCCCGTGAGGAGCTCGGGGTTCTTCGTGTGCCGGTGTTACGAAGATCCACGTCGGGGAGAAGAAGGTTCGAGCCACGCGGTCCAGGACCCCGTTTGTGGTCCGGACCGGGATAGCGAACCGTGTCTAGTTCTGCCGTAGCGTGGCTAGATGAGCATTCGAGACCCGAGTGTAGATCATGTTGTGTTGCGTGTTAATGTGAATAAATAGTGTTGCTCCCAAGATAACGTCTGCGACTCAGTTGGACTCACTACACATATCTGCATTTTTCTGAGATGGCATCAAGAGTCTGCAAGCATCTGGCACACGCATTTTGCTATGTCTGTGGCCAATTTATCAAGACAAGAGCGAAAAAGTACCCTATGGAAGCATCTGCTATGATGTGTGAGGCCTACAAGGCATATTTCGGCATGCTTGTCGGGGATCAAGACAAACCCTGGGCACTTCATTTCACCTGCGAGCAATGCAAAAAACTCTGGAAGGTAAGATGGACAATTGTTGCTCGGAATTTGATGTTATAAAATTTGTTTAAAAAATTGAAATTGTAAAAGTTTTTTTTATTTTAAAATGTTTTACAATTTTCAATGTTATTGAAAAAATATATGCATGAAAAATCTTGCGAGAATCTGTTACACATTAGTCATGGGTGAAATAAATGTGTTTTTGTAGGATGGTACAGAGGGGAAAAGAGAGCCATGAAGTTCGCTATCCCAAGAATTTGTCGGGAACCCACTGACCACTCAAGCAACTGCTACTTCTGCATGGTGAACCCTTACAAACGTCGGACTGGCAAGAATGCACCTGCTATCACATATCCAGACCTTCCTTCAACCATAGCCCCGGTGCCACACTGCCATGAGCTCCCCGTACCCACTCCCCCGAGAGAGCAGACAGAGAGCAGCAAGTCAGAGAGCGAGGAAGATGTTGTAGATCCAGATGACAATTTCAGAGGTGGAGCTGAGGAGAGAAACCCGTACTACCCCAACCAAAAAGACCTTAACGACTTGATCAGAGATCTTGGTCTCACCAAGTCCAACGCCGAGCTTTTGACGTCTAGGCTCAAGCAGTGGAACTTGTTGAATAAAAGGGTGCAAGTCACAGATTAGAGGAAGCTTCACCAACATTTTTGCAGCTTCTTCACCCGTCAAGATGGGCTCTGCTTCTGCCACAATGTGACCAGTCTGTTCGAGGCAATCGGAATCGCCTGTAACCAGAATGAGTGGCAACTCTTCATTGACAGCTCATCCAGGACCCTCAAAGCCGTGCTGCTTCATAATGGTAACAAGTACCCGTCTCTTCCCCGCCTCACTCGGTGCACCTCAAAGAGAATTACAACAGCATTAAGACCTTGCTGGACGCCTTGAAGTATGATGACTAAGGCTGGGAGGTCATCGGAGACTTCAAAATAGTGGCATTCCTGATGGGTCTCCAAGGCAGTTATACCAAGTTTCCCTGCTATCTTTTCCTTTGGGACAGCAGGGACACCAAGGTGCACTACAGCGGACCGAGTTCTCTGTGGGGAGAAACAACGTCAAGTGGGAGCCACTGGTGGACCCCCGGAATGTGCTGATGCCACCCCTGCACATCAAATTGGGCCTTATGAAACAATTTGTCAGAGCTGTAGATAAGGAGTCGGCACCCTTCAAGTACCTTCAAGACTTCTTCCCTAAGCTGTCTGAGGCAAAGGTCAAAGCCGGTGTCTTCGTCGGACCACAGATAAAGAAGATCCTGGAGTGCAATGAATTCCCCAAGAAGCTCACTAGTAAGGAGAAAGCGGCTTGGAACAGCTTTGTCGCAGAGGTTGGTGGCTTCCTGGGCAATCACAAGGTCGAAAACTATGTGGATCTAGTTGAGACTCTGGTGAAGAACTACGTAACAATGGGCTGTAGGATGTCCCTCAAAGTCAATTTCCTTGATGCTCATCTTGATAAATTCAAGAACATGGGAGCGTACTCAGAAGAGCAAGGCGAGCACTTCCACCAGGATATACTGGACTTTGAATTCCGCTACCAAGGACAGTATAACGAGAACATGATGGGAGGCTACATTTGGGGGCTGATTCGTGAAAATGATTTACAGTATAATCGTAAATCTCGAAAAACTACTCACTTGCAAATCTTTTGTAGTCATTTTGTATTACTTTAGTATAAATACATGTTAATTTTGATTCATATGTTGTTTTTTCTGACTTTATGTGAACGAAAAGACACAAATTCGCCCGTTTTCTCATTGAAAAATACTACACATTTTCTATACCTTTTAGGCATTAGCAAATTCGAAATAACACTTACTACCCAGGAACAAAATTGTGTTACATAGTGTATTCATTCAAGGGATGTCTGGTTTGCAAAGCAGGGGACAGCACTTTCCCATATGTCCAGCTTTCGACAGTAATATTCACAGTTGGGTGGAAACAACAATACTTTAAGCTGGAATTTAAACAAAATTAGTTCCGAACCAAAACTACAGTGATGTTTTTTTGTGCAATCATTGGTAACACCATTGGTGTGCAGTCAGACCATTAACTAATTTCGCTTGAGAATTCGGTTTAATTTTAGGCTGGCTGTCTGGATACAAATAGAGGATCTAAGCAGTGCCAACTCAGCGCTCTAACCTCTGAGCCACCCCAGCTACCGAAACATGACGCGTCTCACCGGAAATCTCACAAACAACGTCTTGGGGCCATTGACTATAGTGGCATACTGCGACACCAAGGTTGTCATTGCTGACAAAATTGATAGGAATCTCTGTTGATGTGGACTAGCCTGGTTAGTTGTATCCAGTTTTGATTCGAGTTGAGAATCTGTCTCAGAGCCTGGGACGTAGCCAACTGTGCTAACTGGAGGTGTGGGGGAAGGACAACAAACTAAACACAAAAAGCAGTAACTAAAAAAATTAGTTTTCAATCTGTATCTAAAAGTGCACAGCTCCAGCAGCTTCCTAATATCGGAAGAGCGTTCCAGACAGCCGCATAAACGCATCCAAATGCGCACAATGCAGTGACCCCAAGTTCTCTAAATATTGTCTTTAGCCTGATTACATAGCTTCCAGGGCTCTGCTGAAGGTTTTATGCTACGTACTGCGGTGTCGCGCTCTGCCTGACTGTGCTTTCCGAGTCGGCAAAAGTTACCAAAACGGATTTTAAAGAGTAGCGATCGTGCTCTCCAGCCTCCGTAGTGTAACCTCAACTACAGTCTTTTGGCCTGCAAAAGCCACAACGGAGTCATTCTTTTTTGATTTAAAGCTTTCGTGACTGCAGTAATTCATATTCTTAGTTTTTTCGGTAAAGTCACGTTGAAGAGAAACAACAAAATAACAAAATATATATAAAACAATAAAAAATTCTCACGACGTTTCGACCATAACTCAAACGGTCATCATCAGGTGTGTCGGTTTGCATAAATTTATTTTGAAAGCGGCATATTTATTTATTTATTTTTATATATAAAAATAACGTTTGCGTCACGCGCAACGATTGGCAGTTTGCCCAGGACTAGTCCATCTATTTTTTGAAAAGAGGAGGGGGGAGACGAAATTTGTTTTTATGTATGCTGTCTGAAAGCCACTGTAAGCGTGAACAATCAATCAAGAACTGAAATGATTTATCAAATCTTTCCAATGATTGCTAAGATAGAATCCATCTTCTCGGTTGAAATTGTCTCTGTGCTTGTATATGTGGATAGCCTCATGAACGAATCTCTCATGGAAGCCAGATGGCTTACAAAGAACCTCCGTCTTGGAAAAGTCAATGGCATGTGAGCCTACTGAATTAGAACAATGATCTGCTACGGCCGAGGTGTTGGTCCTACCGTGTTTAAGGTCTGCTTTATGTTCACGAATGCGGTCCGAGATATGGCGTTTGGTTTCTCCAATGTAACTACTACCACAGAGGCAACTTAGTTTGTAGACACCAGGGTATTGTATGTCCGGAATCACATCTTTTACAGACGGAACCAGATCACGGATTTTATGTAATGTGTTGAAACGGACCTGGATCTTGTGTTTATTCAAGATTTTGGAGATCTTTTTTGTGATCCCAGCAATGTAGGGTAAAGTTATGGTTTTGAAAGGCTCCTCAAGAGGGTTCTTCTTCATGGTTTGAGTGATAGCTTTGCGGATTGTATAGTCGGAGTAACCATTAGCCCTAAGAGCTTGGTGTACGTGCTTGAGTTCACTGCTTATGTGTTCCTGGTCGGATATGCATTGGGCTCTATGATACAGAGTCTTGATGAGAGAATTCTTCTGTGATGGATGGTGGTGGGAATCCGGTTTCAGATAAGCATCCGTATGGGTAGCTTTCCTGTAGACAGAGTGGCTCATTGAACCATCAGGTCTCTTTTTAATTAGGACATCCAAAAAAGGTATCTTGCCATCTATTTCGACTTCCATGGTAAATCTGATGGCTGGGTGTATGGAATTGATGTGGTCGAAGAATTGGTCTAGAGCAGGCCGGCCATGTGGCCAGATGACAAAAGTGTCATCCACGTACCTCTTCCATAAGGTTGGGCGCAGAGTGGCAGTCTGGATGGCGTCAGTCTCAAATTTCTCCATGAAAATGTTAGCTATAACTGGAGAAAGGGGGGAGCCCATTGGGGTGCCCTCAGTTTGTTTGTAGAAAGTTCCATTCCAAGTGAAGTATGTATTGGTTAAACAGTGTCTCACCAGGGGGGGTACCTCAGTGTTTAGTCCTTGATGAACCAAGTCTTCAATGATTGCAATGGTGTCAGGTACAGGAACCTTGGTGAATAAGGAAACTACATCAAAACTGACAAGCAGGTCGTCTGGGGACAGGGAAATACCCTTGATTGTTGATACCAAGTGAGTAGAATTTTGTACCGCAGAGGTGGTCTTTCCAGTGAAAGGACGCAGGATTTCAGACAAAAAACGAGCTAGTTTGTAGGTGGGGGAGCTGATAGTAGAGACTATGGGACGAAGAGGTGTATCAACTTTATGTATTTTTGGTAAGCCGTATAATCTTGGTGGCCTGGCAGCAGAAGGTTTCAACGAAAACTGTTTAGATTGATCAATTAATGCGGTTGAATCAGAAATTATTTTGTTGGTTTGTGTGACGAGGCTGTTGGTGGGATCTCTTTTTATTTTTGTATAACTACCATCGTCGAGTAATTCTTTAATTTTGTTGTTGTATTATATTTTATCCATGATGACAGTAGCATTGCCTTTGTCAGCTGAGAGAACTACAATATCATTCCTCTTTTTTAATTTATATAATTCAAAACGCTCATCTTTGCTGAGGTTGCTAGCTGGCATCTTAGCGTTTTTGAGGGTTGCAGCGATTTCAGATCTTGCTACGTCTGCAGCGATGTGACCCAGGCCCCTGAGAGCAACGTCTACTTGGGCAATTATATCACACCTAAACACATACCAGTTAATGATATAATTGCCCAAGTAGACGTTGCTCTCAGGGGCCTGGGTCACATCGCTGCAGACATAGCAAGATCTGAAATCGCTGCAACCCTCAAAAACGCTAAGATGCCAGCTAGCAACCTCAGCAAAGATGAGCGTTTTGAATTATATAAATTAAAAAAGAGGAATGATATTGTAGTTCTCTCAGCTGACAAAGGCAATGCTACTGTCATCATGGATAAAATATAATACAACAACAAAATTAAAGAATTACTCGACGATGGTAGTTATACAAAAATAAAAAGAGATCCCACCAACAGCCTCGTCACACAAACCAACAAAATAATTTCTGATTCAACCGCATTAATTGATCAATCTAAACAGTTTTCGTTGAAACCTTCTGCTGCCAGGCCACCAAGATTATACGGCTTACCAAAAATACATAAAGTTGATACACCTCTTCGTCCCATAGTCTCTACTATCAGCTCCCCCACCTACAAACTAGCTCGTTTTTTGTCTGAAATCCTGCGTCCTTTCACTGGAAAGACCACCTCTGCGGTACAAAATTCTACTCACCTGGTATCAACAATCAAGGGTATTTCCCTGTCCCCAGACGACCTGCTTGTCAGTTTTGATGTAGTTTCCTTATTCACCAAGGTTCCTGTACCTGACACCATTGCAATCATTGAAGACTTGGTTCATCAAGGACTAAACACTGAGGTACCCCCCCTGGTGAGACACTGTTTAACCAATACATACTTCACTTGGAATGGAACTTTCTACAAACAAACTGAGGGCACCCCAATGGGCTCCCCCCTTTCTCCAGTTATAGCTAACATTTTCATGGAGAAATTTGAGACTGACGCCATCCAGACTGCCACTCTGCGCCCAACCTTATGGAAGAGGTACGTGGATGACACTTTTGTCATCTGGCCACATGGCCGGCCTGCTCTAGACCAATTCTTCGACCACATCAATTCCATACACCCAGCCATCAGATTTACCATGGAAGTCGAAATAGATGGCAAGATACCTTTTTTGGATGTCCTAATTAAAAAGAGACCTGATGGTTCAATGAGCCACTCTGTCTACAGGAAAGCTACCCATACGGATGCTTATCTGAAACCGGATTCCCACCACCATCCATCACAGAAGAATTCTCTCATCAAGACTCTGTATCATAGAGCCCAATGCATATCCGACCAGGAACACATAAGCAGTGAACTCAAGCACGTACACCAAGCTCTTAGGGCTAATGGTTACTCCGACTATACAATCCGCAAAGCTATCACTCAAACCATGAAGAAGAACCCTCTTGAGGAGCCTTTCAAAACCATAACTTTACCCTACATTGCTGGGATCACAAAAAAGATCTCCAAAATCTTGAATAAACACAAGATCCAGGTCCGTTTCAACACATTACATAAAATCCGTGATCTGGTTCCGTCTGTAAAAGATGTGATTCCGGACATACAATACCCTGGTGTCTACAAACTAAGTTGCCTCTGTGGTAGTAGTTACATTGGAGAAACCAAACGCCATATCTCGGACCGCATTCGTGAACATAAAGCAGACCTTAAACACGGTAGGACCAACACCTCGGCCGTAGCAGATCATTGTTCTAATTCAGTAGGCTCACATGCCATTGACTTTTCCAAGACGGAGGTTCTTTGTAAGCCATCTGGCTTCCATGAGAGATTCGTTCATGAGGCTATCCACATATACAAGCACATAGACAATTTCAACCGAGAAGATGGATTCTATCTTAGCAATCATTGGAAAGATTTGATAAATCATTTCAGTTCTTGATTGATTGTTCACGCTTACAGTGGCTTTCAGACAGCATACATAAAAACAAATTTCGTCTCCCCCCTCCTCTTTTCAAAAAATAGATGGACTAGTCCTGGGCAAACTGCCAATCGTTGCGCGTGACGCAAACGTTATTTTTATATATATATATAAATAAATATGCCGTTTTCAAAATAAATTTATGCAAACCGACACACCTGATGATGACCGTTTGAGTTATGGTCGAAATGTCGTGAGAATTTTTTATTGTTTTATATATATTTTGTTATTTTGTTGTTTCTCTTCAACGTGACTTTACCGAAAAAACTAAGAATATGAATAGGAGTCATTCTTCTTTTCTAAACAACCGCCATTCGCCAATTTGTGGCGGTGAGATCACCACGGCGCTTGTCCCAGGCTATGTGCACACACACACCAATTTTAACGTCTCGTTTTAAAACAACCATACACACACCACGTGGCGTTATCTGCGGCGGGGTGTTGAGGATGATGCGCCGCACTGGGTAGTTGTCGGGGTTGTACTTCTCCCGTATGATGTCCACCAGGCTGCGCCCATGCTCGCAGCTCATGTTGACGCCCGTGCACCAACAGGCCTGTAACATAGCTGCACAGAGGAAAACCTTTGCTATTGAACGTGCACGACCACGCGTGTCCCGCAAGCCATCGACATTCACAAGCGGTTGGTTTGATTGGGATGATGAAAGTATGATATTGAAAAATTGGATTTGCCCCATTTGCTTTGGGCTGGAAAGTGCCATAGTGTGCGATAAGAGGTGTGATCCAAGAGTAATAATACACGTAAAAGGAGTGATTGTATGACCGTAGTATCAGTCATACCAACACGCCTTGCGTGTCACAACTTTGAACCTTGCGAACTGGTAGCCTAGAACTAGGCTGTGTACATTACACATGCACACAATGGCACCTTTTGCCCAATGGATATCAATTTTGCGTGCAGTTATCACGACTCATATTTGTTTTCAGCCTGCAGGCAATTTTCTGATCTTGATTTGAAGCTTTCGTGACTGCAGGAATCCATACTCTTTGGATCTTTCGGTAAAGTCACGTGGGTATAACAGCTCTCTCGCTAGTTCAGCGGTTCCACTGCTGGATTATATTTTTCCCACCTGAGGACGACCGCTTGTGTTGCGATCGAAACGTCGTGATTTATTTTGTTATACCTACGTGACTTTACCGAAAGAACCAAAGAGTATAATTTTTTGATAATTTAAATAAAGTGTCAAAATTGGTTTGAGGAATGACCTTGGCTGTACCATAACGCAAAAGATGTGCTCCGCTTACTCTGCTGCACTGCACGTGGTTATTTGTGTAAGACGAGAGCTGGACAGGGGATGGCTTTTGGTTTACGTGAATGTGGAGGATGATGTAACGTCTCCATACGTGGGAGATGTTTAAACATTGTTGGCCGTGGAGGTGATGTCATTCGGTTGCACAAGCCAAGTTTAACGCAGTTGGGGGGAGGGGGGTTAGTGGGCGGGGCACAGTGGGGGGGGGGGGGTAGTGGGCAGCTCTGTCTTTGTGAAATGTACGAAGGGGGAGTTACTCTGTGCCTAATTGGTTTCAGTGGCCTCCGCTGCATTCACATATTTCACCGTACTGCGGTCCGATATAGCGTCAGGGCTCTAATCCAATGGACCAATTGTAACGCACGTGTCTGTTAAACGGTCTTTAGTCGTCTGAGTAGAATACCAATTTAAATAAAAATCTGCCTATCCTGAACCCCCATCTCCCCCGCTTTGTCAACCAGGTGTGACAGAACAGCCAAGCCCTGACGAACAAAAAAGGATGTTTATTTTATCTTGTCACAAGCCTCGTTAAATAACATTTGCTGCAATTCAATCCAAAAGCAACGGTTTTAATGTTTGAATTGGGAAGTGTCAGGGAAAAATAAGGAGAATGCCAAATTTCGTCAACGCCCTGCAACAATTTTTATTGGTATAGCGACTCCATGCAACTGCATCTCAAGATGCTTCACGGAAATGAGGGACAACAGCAGGGGAGGGGGAAGTGTGGGGGGCACGGACACATGGGAGGGGACGATGCGACACCAGTACGTGGCATAAAACCTTAAAGCCCTTGAAGCTCTATATTCAGGCTAAAGACATCATCCTTAGAGAACTTGAGGTCACTGCTTCGCGCGCGTTCAGATGTGCTTCTGCAGCCGTCTGGGATGCTCTTCCTTCCGATATTATGAAGATCATTTTTAAATCAACTAGATTGAAAACTAATTTATTTTACAACTGCTTTTTGTGTTGAGTTTGTTGTCCTGCCTCCACACCTCTGATTAACATGGTTGGCTGTGTACGGTGCGAAAGTAGTTCAACATACACACGTTATAAAATCATGGCTGATGTGTCCTTGGGAGAAGCATATGAATTCCTTTTTAGTTATTTTCAGACAGTGACACAAACAAACAGCCTTGCTATTACTGTACATAAACCCGGAACTGTACAAAACAGGAAACGGTTTAGCTTCACTCTGCTCGTGTTTTTTTTTACGAAACAAAATATTTACATGCGTAGAAGAAGGCTAAAATAAACCTGAAAATACTCAGCTACCAAGTCGGCCTGCCACGGCTCTGGTGAGTTGGATATTCAGCAAAGCAAAAAAATACATGGAAAGGCACAAATATGAAGTATTTTTTTACAGTTTTGTCCACTAAACGGTTTTATCATCTTACCACAAAAGTAATAAATTAAGTTGTTTATGTAAACATAAACCAGTTTAGAATAACAATTTCCTCAGACAATGTGTTCAACTAGACTATATAAAACTACTTCTCTCTCTTAAAATGTTGCCACAAAACATCCACTGTCAGCACTGTGGTTTGTTATTTTTAACTGTTTTGAGAGATAATGTCTTGCTGAACCGGTCATGTAAAATGTGCTAGAGGCTAAGAGGATGCTTCATCACCATCTGCAAAATGTCAGCGTCTTGAAACGTTGGCTTGTTGTGTTTACGACTTGTAAGGCAGTGCCCGTGAATGATGACAGTGGTGAAGTATTTTCGGACTGTGCCTCTACGCCATTGCCAACCGAGTCCCCGGACACATCGCGAGGGCTCGAGGCACGCCGATGGCAGAGCAGCCATCGGCGTGCCTCGACAACGCTATCAGCCGCTTGAGCACAAAGGGATTGAACACCCCACGTTGGTTCGATTCCACCGTGGTGCGGAGGAGCACCAAGACACGCGCTGACCGCAATATCACAAAGCTCTTCAAGGGTAGAAAAGCACAACGCAATAACACGTGGATTTATGTACATGCACAGCCCATTCGTCAATCACTTGCGGGATGAGGGCCTTTCCACGCCGTGCGGGTCATGGGTGGGGGGTTAGTCAAACACATTTCAGTGAGGGGTTGGCGACGACTGAGAGCATATAAGTAAGAAACATAGACACTGTAAAACATTGGATTTAGCTGCATTGCTGCCCTCTGCTGTTCACAATATATTTTTTTACATAGCGTCTGAACGCAGCTCACATTGGAAGACGCTGAAAAGCCTCGCTGTATATCGCAGGGGGTCGGGCTCACCTGCGGCGGTCCTGCTTCAGAGTTGTGCCACCACTGCTGCTGTGCCCCCGAGCTGCGCCGCCGTAGCACCTGTCGAGCTGCCCGCGAGTGCGTGAGGAGCAAGGTCCAACTGTGACGCGACCTTATCCACTCCCCCGCGTGCGCTGCTGTCCGTTAAAAAGGTCCCGTCATGCGCCACTCGGTCAACAGACTGACGAGGAGGGGGCACATGAAAAACCGTGGCTTGTTATCGTCTTTGCGCGCCAAATACAACGGAGGCACTGGAGTGCATACTTTACATGAGGCCGATGTGTAATCCCTTTTGGACCATCGAGAAGAACATCACGCGATGCAGTGTTAAGTTTCCTTAGCTGTGAAGGTTGGGGCTTACTGCAGACAGGGCTTCCAAGAAGACCCCGGTGTTTATAGCAGGGCGAAAGTTTAACCACAAATATTTATATAAATAAAGCAAATATTTCACGTAAGTTTGTATTGTATGCACTGTGGTGGAGGCATCACCCATTTCTATTGACAGCCATCTTAGTCCATAGGCCAGAGCAGAAACTGGAACCACCTAAGATAGTAAAATCCTAATAGTACTGATTTACCTACATGAATGAGAGTGAACTTTTTGTTGATACACTGATTTCAAATGGTTACCACGTGATTCACTGTTATTGGCTACAATATAATTGGAACCACTGAAATCTTTCTACCTCAAGTGGTACCAACAAGTAAAATATCTGCCCTGGGCTCATGGACTACTGACCTATTGCTTGAAATGCTGACCTCTCTGTAAAGCGACCATAGCAGTATAATACTCATAAAAAAGGGACTCAACTGTATCAACCCTGGAGAAATTACAGGCCACAATGTCCCCCCACGACTCCACCACCACTCTGGCCAGAACTTGAATTTGTAACCTTCAGATTATGCGTTATCTACACACCACGACCACGGTGGCATGAAAAGCCGGCTCAGCTCAAGCTTAGAGTGATAAAATAAGTTACTTTTCCCGTCCAGGTTATCACAAGAAACACACCAGCCTGATTGAAACACGAAGGAAGGGGCAACACGTCCACACATCTGCAGCAGGAGCACGCATCCAGACGGGGACGCGAGTGTTCGTCTTTCAGGCACCCGCATGGGAGCCAGCAGGTGCCTACGCGGCTCAGGGCATGAACTGCTTAGTGCACGCGGTGATGGCACTGCCGCTTCCATCCCCGTGCAGGAGCCCCATCATCATTTATTATTCAATACGAGCAGCTCCAGTAGTGCCACGCACGACCTTCGATGAAGGTGATCGTGAAGGTGGTGATGGAGATAGTAATAATAAGAGGTGATGTGGATGGGTCTCTCGTGACAAACGTAATGATGATGTTGATGAAGGTGGTGAAGGTAATGGTGCAACAATCAGAATATTTATACTGGATTAATCTGATGGGCTATAAAGAGGTGGTGATTATCGAGGCTGGTAATAATGGCTTGTGATCGTGGTGGTCGTGATGGAAGTAGTGATTACATTGAAGGAGGTGAAGATTATTGTGACCGTGATCATGGCGACGGTGATGTGATGGTGTTCAATGTTGTGGTAATAGCGCTGATGCTCTATGTGGTGGTGACAGTGGTAATGGTGAATGTTGTGGTGAAAGTATTGATGCTGATGTGGTGACTTTGCAGTGAGAGCTGGCAGAGGCAAGTCTGGACGCCAGTACCCCACTGGGGGATGCATCTCACCACCGGTAGCTTTAAAATGTTTTTTAATAATAAAATTAAACAATACAGCATGGCAGCGAGGATGGGGAATAAATGGTGAGTTGCGGAGCTGGCTTCAATCCGGTAACCCAAGCTCCTTAATTCATATTTTAGATTCCATGTGCTCATGAAAGCAACAATCAATGAACTCTATTTAAAAGCTCATGAGAGCCCATTGGGACAAAAAAACAAAGGTATGTAATGGATTATCTATTAAAATCGATTCCTACGCCCATGATACTTGCATCAATTCATGCATGCTATTATATTGCTTTACATGAAAGCCAAGAGATATTATACATGCACCACAATGACAAAAAATAAAATGTGTGTTTAAGATATGGCATGGCATCAAACGGCAACAAAGATGAATAATTACCATACCTACTTCATTGCAGGGGAGAGCTGGGATAATATACAGGATCCAAACATGGAAACACAAAGAAGTATATATCCATAAAAAAATTATGTAATGTTAAATTTATGTGGGAACATACACTTCAGCACACTATGTGCCATCATCTGGTTAACCCCCTGTGCATTGCGTAATGATGTTAAACAGTCCTGGCACGTTCACCGACTCCTCAGTGTGCAGAGCGATCACGATCACGTTGAAACACTGGCACCTAACTATACCCACTCCCTAGCCTAACTAGTAATTAAATAGCTACCCTACTCATTTATTATCCTACACACCTTATTCAGTACTTACCTTACCCACTACCTAGCCGAACTAGTACCTAAATAACTTACACACCTATTACTAGTGCTTGCCCAACCTATTATATTTAGTACTTACCTACCAGAACTAGTACCTATCCTATCTATTGTCAATCCTACCTAACCTATGTAAAAAAGTACTTTCCATAATTATTACCTACCCTCTCCAACACCTACCCTCCCCAATACTTACTCGACTAGCATCATGGCTATTATCAACAAAGCAGTATATGGTATCTGAAGAAGGGACAATGCCTGAAGCATTAGCCTACTTTGTCTCTTGCATAAGACAGTGTTAACGATTACCAAAGCGATTGCTTTTTTGTGAGTGCAGTCCTATCTACATTCTTTGAACGTGCATGCTACCTAGCCTGTTAAGAACACTCAAAACGAACCCAAGGAACGACTTTGGGTTCGCACAGCACTTGTCTAAATTCTCTAAATATTTAAAACTAAACACCAAGGCTTAATTTAATCAGAGTCTCTCTGGGTCAGCAATCCAGAAAAAAATGTCCACATCCAACACACTACATCCAGTATACATCTCGCTATGGCTGTGACTAACTCCAGTGGCTGATGCTGCTGCTTCCATCTCCCAATGTGGAAATTGAAACAATGGGCAAGTTTCTTATATCCATCCCCTGCCTCTTTGCACCCAGCAGCATAATTCTGTACTGTACACGACAGTTAGTCCATTAGCAGGTGGCGGGCAGAGGGATAAAGTGTGGGTACTCCCACCGCCAGTTTGAAAGCGTAGGCCAAAATACGGTCTAGGAGTTCTCTTGAGATCAATGCAGTGAAGGTCCTTCTTCCAGGAGTGGCACAAGCAAGCAATTTCATGTCTGCACATTCACCACCGTTATTACCTTTCGCACAATCCATTGTTGCTGTTGTCTCTGTGTGTGCACGTCTGTCCTGCAGTCTACCAGCAATCCAGAAAAAAATATTCAGTGAGAAATGAAAACTCTGCTAAACACAACATGCAGGGCGTCTGCACCACAAACCATAGCGGCTTCACACTGGCGATGAGCCAGCAGAGCAATACCCTAAGAGCAATGCACTAATATAATAGTGGGGTGGGACGGACGCAGCTCAAGGAAGCGGCACGGCGATATTCCTGGAATGAGACTCATTAGAGTTGGCAGAAGCTCATGCTCAGCGACAGCTCCACACGTCACCAAGGGCTTGGGCTTGGCGTATCTCTCTCCTGGCTTGGACGGCGGCTGGCATTTGCTGGACACGTGCAGCAGCACAGGAGGGTGCATGAAGTGGGGTGCAGTAGTGCACAAATACAAATAACCCCCATCTTGCCTGAACAGACTGTTATGGCAAGTGCTATTAGCAAGTAGCACCTATGAAGGCTGGAATGGCACACGAGGGGGTGGGTGGCCAGCACACACCTGTGCACACATACACCTACTTTGTACATGTACAGTCCGTTTTAAATTCACTGCTGGATGAGGGCCTCCCAATTCTGTACATACCAATCATAGGCATTATTTGCTCATGCAGCACCACGCTGGTTAATTCAGGGATCATAGATATCAGAACAGAAGTATAGTACAACAACCAATTTTGCTCCTCTGCTGTCCACATAGTGGGCCAGGGCCACATACATACCGAAACAAATATACACCCATCTTTTACAGGATATGTGCTGTTAGCAAGCACCTGCCTGGATCGACAGGACAACGTGATGTTGTGTTATGTATAGCAACCACATTAGCCACCTTTGCCCCAGTGGTGATGTTCACACGATGTACCACATACTCATTTAAGGCTAAGTTGACCGAGGAGAGGATCAGGACAGTCTCAGATACCACTTCTGATGTTATCCATGGGTGAGTATTGAACCCAGGATAGAAGGGGTTCATAGAACTTCAGCGTCACTGCTTCACTTTGCTAAGAAATGTTGTACTAATTAAGAAAAACATGACCGCAATGCATGGGTGCCGACCATTCAGGAAAAACACACTCATGTGACCCATCTGGGTTGCGAGTGAGCTGGAGCCACACACATCGAGACACCGAGAGACACACGAAGGCACGCACTGAAGTACATACATACACACAGACCAGGCACGTGTGATGGTTTACGTTACAGCAGGCGGTGAGATCCACATTTGGTTTTGTAATTGCAGGTGACATCAGGTATTAAGGAGCAGACGCAACGTGCAATCCCCCACAGTGGGCGCTATTGGGCCGTCGCCAGACGTATCGTCCTGGAGGCTGCAATAATTTATTGGCTGGAAAACCTGGAATGGTTTTCGTTGTCTGCCTGACCTGGAGCCATAGCATGTTCCCGACAAAGACACTGACATGCCGACACAGAAAGACAAAGCTCCTCCGTGTAGGTGAAGTAGACGTTTGGGGTAAATGCTGGTAGCGAGGACATTCAAGCCGACCTAACGCACGAGGCGTGGTGTGACCAATACCACGCCTCGACGCATTAGTCTCTCCGCTGCTGACGTTTCCAAGCCATGCCAGGCATATACTGTATTTATTGACGTCCACAGAATGACATGCTGAGATACAAAAACAACCGTCATTCGCCACGAATTGGTGGTAACGTCACCATCGTTTGCTCGTCCCACGCTAGGTGCACTTTGAGGCCATACACACACAACAACAGACAATGCCAGAAAGGATGGGAGCCGAACCGTTCAGAAAAGCAACATCCATGTGATCAGAGAGTGACATACACCCATGCACACTAAATAATTGCCTTTGCAGTACACGAAAAACGAACGCACACATAGTGACACGGCCCAAACAAAGACACCTCTTATAGCCTTTCAAAGACTGTTGGGGCTGCTAGCGAGCACCTATGAAGGCCGACACGGCACACGAGGGGGTGGGTGGCCAACACCACGCCCGACCGCCTTTGTCTCCCCACTGCTAATGTTTACACACACCAGGTGCTCGTTTAGGGCTTCGTAGCGCTAACCACTGCACTACCTCTCCCCACACACGCACCAGGTATATTTACATACACCAAAATACCTACACAATGCTACTCCAACACACACTGGCATATACACATTGGCACACACCAACAGTGTTGACACACACCAACATACACGCTGACATACATATTGACACACCCAAACACACTGACATACAAACATAATGCAATAATATTGACGCACACATATATTCCCCGTACACTGTAGTCTAGACTGTTGAGGCAAGCGCTCTTACAGAGCACCTATACCACACGCTTTGCTGCACCCATATACTTTACACGCATTGAAACCCCCTAAATAAACACTGACATACGCACAAAGGCCGCTCATACACACAAAAGCCGCAGTGTCAACCCCCTCGAACCCCCGATACTCCTCGTCCCCATCACCTCCTGAGTCTGCCGAGGGGCGCCTCACCGCACTCCCCGAAGCCCTCTATTCCCACCAAGATAGCGAGCCCACCACTGGACGCCCATCATTTCCCGGGAGTCCCCGCGTCCCCGATCCCCTCCCGAAAGTCCCTGGGTCCCCCCCGTCTCCATCTATGGTTACCTGCTCCCAGACTCTGGGACCCTAACCAACCCCCCAATCTCCTCTCGGACGCCCCTGGGTATCCCGTTCCTTCCCGGACGCCCCCCCTCCAGGTCCCCGCTGCCCCTCCAGGTCCCCGCTGCCCCTCCAGGTCCCCGCTGCCCCTCCAGGTCCCCGCTGCCCCTCCAGGTCCCCGCTGCCCCTCCAGGTCCCCGCTGCCCCTCCAGGTCCCGGGGACTCGCACCTGGAGACGGGGAGGGAGCCGCTGGGTCCAGGTCGCGACGCAGAGAGCACTGAAGAACGATGGGCCGTGACGTCACCTCGTAAACACAGGGCCGTGACGTCACCACGCAAGGGCGGGACGGAAGACGCCGGCCCGCGCCTCGATACGTAATTGCGTCATTTGCACAGCGCCGGCACGCGACGTCATCGCGTAAACGACGTGATGACGTCCTTTACTGCGGCTTCGCCTTCCGTCACACCGCCCGAGAGCGCGGCGCGTGACGTCACCGCGCTACCGGTCGTGCGACGTCACGACGCAATATCCCCCCCACAATAGCGAGGGAGATTTTACGGCTGTCCGCTATTGGACAGTATTAAACGAGCGTTCATGTGCAACGTTAACGCGTATTTTGTTGTCAGTGTTAGTTACTTTACATGCACGCTACACTTGGTGCATCGACTGTCACGCGACAGATTTTTGCCGCCACGGGGCGGCGAGTTACCGTGGCAGTGCGAGGATTGATCGGTCGAACCCCTCCACCCGCAGCCCGTCGTGGCCCTTGCGCGTGTCCGAGTAGCGCGGAGCAAGGAGAGACCCAACCCCGGGTCCTGCGGGTGACCACCACGTCCCCTCACGGCCACCGCTGCCACTAACAACAACAACGACGACGATGATCCCCGTCCTCCCCGATTCGTTGACCTCGCAACCCGCTCACGTGACCAAACTCCCGAGCTCCCCACCCACGACCCCCGTCGGCCAGCCAATCAGATCTCGTGAGCACGCTCCCCCCCCCCCACCACCGTTGCCATGACCCCCACGCAACCACAACACAGCTGTTTAAAAAAAAGTGCTTATGTTGTTGTTGCAATTAGGACTTTAGTCTAAACATGTAGGCTTTCGCAACCAATATTATCCACAATAGAGGGTTTTTTTGGGGTTAGAAGCCTATAAATATAAAAAATATGAATGTGTTGTTAAACCCGCCACCACCCTTGAGTTAATTAAATATAAATAAAGTCGTATCCAACAACCTCTATTATGGATAAGACTTTATTTGTATTGAATAAACTTAAGGCATTCGTCAGTGACACTGCCTTAAATATATAATAGGCGACGTTTTCGGGCAATTAAAGGGGCATACGCTGTGAAGGGTGATTGCCCAAAACGTCGAATGTAAGGCAGTGTTCTTGTTTTGTTCTGCACAACTGGCAACGCAGCATCACCAAATAATGTCCTGCCAAATCTTCGTAGTAGGATGCGATGCTGCTGTGTGTAATCCCATTGGAGTAATTAGATATCTCAGTAAACACGCAACGTTGTCCCAACGATTTCCATGCAGACAGCCCCGTAGGGCCAAGGGGGCGAGTTGTATGTGCAACTTGTGGCTAAGCAACATTTAGTTATCATCATCATTAGACCTCCTTTGCTAGTACCAAAATGTAATAATAGGGTTGTTCCTCTTTTTTCTGGCAACAAAAAAAACATACTTTGATAATATATGCATTGGATAATGTAGGCAATGCATATATTATCATAGTATGTTTTTATGTTTGCATTTTGACTGCAGGTATTGTGGTTAATGCAGACATGAATCCTTGTAAAAAAAGGTTTCAGTTTTGTTGCCAGAAAAAAGGGGAAAACCCCTATTATTACATTTAGTTAATTCAACTTCATATAACATACATGAATACAGTATAGACGCAACTTGCATGTGGTTAATATATTCAACAGAAGTGTACTTGTAAACGTCAGATTCTTTATTTGGACTTGAGGACTCCGATGACCTTTTTAAACGATGTCCACTATGGACAGAGTTTGGCACAACAACACAAATGTCACTCTACTTGGTCCCTTGAGCGCGTGTGGGAATGTTAGGCAGCTGCGGGGGGGGGGGTGATGGGATGGGGAAATTACTTGGGGTTTGGCTGGAAATAAGAGAACACTCGGGACGATAAGTGTTGGGGGTAGGGGGGGTCACGGCAGACTTTTTATTCAACGAGGTGTTTAGATCACAGGCGATCGTATCGTCGTCGTCGTCACAGTCAGAAATGTGCCCACGTCACAAAGGGCTTCGGTTGGCACAGAAACTCCCATCAAGGTTCGGTTTGGGAGCGGTGGGGGGGGTATTTGGACGATCGGCCTCGGATGAAAATGAAGCGTTTTCAAGAATTGAAAATAAAGTTTAAAAAAAAAGTGTTAACGTTTAGTTTCCGGGAATGCGTTGTAGATTCTCGTTTTTAAACGGTCGCGAGCTGCGTGGCTGGGACTTGAACTTAGTTCGTGGGGTCTCTAGCGCTGTGCCACACTACTCCAACCCAACATCAGCCACTCGGTGGCAATTTCCCGAGTGCTGTTAACACCGCACGCCTGCTGTGACGGTGGGAATAGTTTAGACCGACGTTGGCCACAAACACCCTTCCTGTAGTCAAAGCCTTTCACTCGTTAATTAAAAAAAAACTAATGCGACACCAAGCTGCTTGTTCATGAGTAATGGAACATTTATTGTTTTAAATCCATCGTGTTTTTGTTTGTTTGTTGTGGTTGCACCCGATTCAAGAGCCGAATGGCTCACAGGGGCTATACCAAAATAAATAAACTGGGGGGGGGGGGGCTTTAGGGGGCTGCAAGCCCAGGGGGCCTCCGACAGCTGGAGGGCCTCCAGAGATGAAGTCAAGTGATTTAATTTGCGAATGCTGAATTTAATGAGTTGTTAGCCTTGTCAATTTGTTTTCTTTAACTTTTATATTCTTAGCTCTTTCGGTAAAGTCACGTTGAAGGGAAATACTAAAATAATATATAAAACAATACAAATTTCTTGAAACATGTTTCTTGCCGTTGCTTTTCACACCTGATGATGACCGTTTGTGTTATGGTCGAAACGTCGTGAGAATTTTTATTGTTTTATATATATTATTTTATTGTTTTCCTTCAACGTGACTTTACCGATAGAGCTAAGAATATGAATTACTGCAGTCACGAAAGCTTTAAATAAAAATTTATTTAACTTTGTTTTCCTTTTTAAAAATATTACTGGGGGCCTCACAGTACCTGTAGCCCAGGGGCCTACAAAATCTTAATCCGGCCCTGAGTATGGACGGATCAGCAAGTTACAATACAAAAAAAACCGATAGGAGTGCAAAACAGAAAAACGTTAAGCAAGTCATTATAAAGAAATACAAACGAATAAAGTATAAATTGCGAATTTTTAAACAAATGCAGTGTTGGGCAAGTCAGCAAAAACACATTCCTGCGGAGGGGGCTGGTAGGAACGTTGGGTTGCTCGGTCAATGGCCAGGGTCACACGGCGGCACCACCACGTGGCGTATTCCGCAAATATGCCCGACTGTGAGGGCGGGCACAAGCCAGCGTGAAGGGTGGGGACCGAGTGGGGACCTGGGATGGTGGAGAGAAATAAAAAGCTGTTCCTCAAAAAAAAAGAGTACAATACCCACGAATTGGCCGGCTTATAATGTAGAGATTGAGAGCAGCCGCGTACTCCAAACGCACGTTGTTGATTCTCCACGTGGAGGGGAAAATGTCGTGAAGATGGCCGGACGTGGTTGGTGGCCACCCACCCCCACGTGGTGTGCCGTGACCGCCTTACCCACCCAGCCCCTCCCTCTCCACCCAGCCCCTCCCCTCCCCACCCAGCCCCTCCCTCCCCACCTCACCGCTCCACCCAGCCCCTCCCCTCTCCACCCAACCCCTCCCTCCCCACCCTCCCCTCTCCACCCAGCCCCTCCCTCTCCACCCAGCCCCTCCCCTCCCCACCCAGCCCCTCCCTCCCCACTCTCCCCTCTCCACCCACCCCTCCCATTTTTGGATGCACGACGGACGGACAGACACAATAATCACTCACTGTTTTTTTTCGGTAAAGTCAAAACCAAACCAATGAGTCATTTTACGCAGTCACGAAAGCTTTAATGCTTTATTAGACACAATGATCCCCTGTGGGCTGGTGGTGTAACCAGGAGGTTCCTTACCAGTATAAACATTCCCAGACCACACCAAGACAATAACACCCTCTCGCACGTTACGGAAGCCCCCTCCCTTCCCCCCTCGGATTAGCCGAGGTTTGCCGAGCTCTGCGATCTTACATTTGCTGGCAAATTCCATCTCCAGTCCTGCCCACTTACCCTTGGGTTGTACCCATCATCAAACCTATATAACCTCTGGCCTGCAGCAACTCTCTCGCTATATTTCTTCCTGCCTCAGCAGTCCGCCTGCTGTATTTTTTTCACCTGAAGGCGATTGCTTGTGCTGCGATCGAAACGTCGTTCTCTATTAGTTATTTTTTTTCTATCTACGTGACTTTACCGAAAGAACCAAAGAGTATGAATAACACAGTCCTTCGATAAAATTGAACATTCAAATTGATCAATACGTGGGTAATGATGAAAGTTGCAAATTACATTTGCAAATGTGGTTGCGTCTCGAACTAATAATATGAATTCCTCATTAGCATCGTGGAGAATATAAGTAACATAAGGGGCGCCACAGTGGCTAGATGTCAACCACCTCGCCTGGCATACAAGGAGGTCGTGGGTTCGATTCCGACCCTGACACCTGTTGTACACGTGGAGTTTGCATGTTCTTCCCGTGGTTCTCCAGTTGTTCCCCCTCCACGTTTTGAAACACGCGTTTAGAGAGATTGTCTGCTAGAAATTTCCACGCGATAAGCCACTTCGTTGAGCCATCATTTGTGATGACCAGGTCGCTTCTGAAAAAAAAAGAAGAGAGCTAATCGCTCAGTGGGCTTTACTTGATTAGATTTTTAAAAAAAGAACTGCTTAAGTTTTAATTGTGCACTTTTTAAAGTGTTTTGTTTAACCTTTCCTTATCATTTTTACTCCTACCGTGTCTTTGTATTTTTTGTCGTTGCAACTTTCTGACCCGCCACGACTGGACATGTGGAAAAATAACTTCATAGCTCATCGGAATTCTGCCTCCGGTTAGCAGTGAACTTTCCGAGTCCGTAATAACTCCATAATATTGGGTTTTTTTTTGGGTTAGATCGCATAAATGTCGTTAAACCCGCCACCACCAATTAGTAAGGTTTGTCACGTAAACAGACCATACCAATTCGCTACTAGTACAGCAAACTTGCATCCCACTGGGATTTTTTTGCACACGGTGATTTTTTCAGGAATATTTTGCTGTTTTTTTCCATGGATTTTCTGTTTGCACAGTCACACGTAGTCACTTTAAGATGTTTTTCTTGTTCGTGTTTTTGTTTTTTTGTTTGTTGCGGTTGCACGCGATTCAAGAGCCGAATGGCTCACAGGGCTATACCAAAATAAAGAAACTGAAACACCGGTGTATTGAGCAAAGCCACAACATTTACAATCTTAGTACGACGTTTCGCCAGTCATCACAACAAGCATCATCAGGCGGACAGCCAGATTTGTGGATGAATCCTGTTTTGTTCCTTACATAGAGGGAAAGATGACACATCTATATTTACGTGATCTAACCAAAAAATATATATATTATGGATTATATTGGTTGACGAAAGCTTCCTCCATAAAAAACTCTCCCCCCAGGAAAGATGGCCGTCCACTTTACACGGCCATTTTAAACGGGGGCGTGGCTTATCGCGCGCACGTGACTTCAACCCTCCACTCCTGGGCCCCTCTCACCACCTGTGCACTCACATTACGACCCCCGTCCCACCCCCGTCCCGAATTGTTGACGTTGTCAATTCGATTCCTCCCGGTAGCGTTTAACTCAATAGTGAATCGATTCGTGTAGCGACCTTCCTATCGTGATCGTCCGCGATTTCGAATTCTCATTCCGTCTCTGTTTACGAATCGATCCGAAACGAATTCTAATTCCGCGTGACAAATCGACCGGCTGGCCCTCGATTCGCTTTAACCCCAAACCGGAAAGAGAATCGATTGGGCGCGGCATGGCGGACAGGGCCGGAGAGACGGATCCAGCGGAGTTCGGCATGAAGGCGGACGGCGCGGGGCTCGTGGGCAGGCGAGTAACAACAACAACGACACCAACCACAACGACAACAACGGGGTGGTGGTGGGGGGGGAGGTCACACAGCCCGTCGACACCGCGCACACCGCTAACTGATTCAACACTTCGCGTGCGGCCTGATTATCAACACGGTACATGACAGCGTAACTGGTCAATACGGCCTCACTACAGTGCAGTATTACACTACTGTGTATAATGTATATAAAGTAGTGTATTTACTACAGGACCGGTTTATATAATGCGTTGCTGTCAACCCATAGGGTTTACCTCGTATTTTTTGTACAGGGAAATTGAGTTTTCAGCTCCGTACAGCGGTTTCAATACGGGCAACAAAAATGTCTTAATTTTTTTGTGTTACTCCCTTGTAGTGGAACTTTGTTGGATGAACGTTGAGAGTCATAAGGGGCACGGGGTGATGAATAATGTCTGAATTGGTCTGTAAAAAGGTAGGCACTGATACAGGTATGTGGTATATAGTATTGTATAATGTAGTGTATAGTAGTGTATAGTGTAGTTTATAGTAGTGTATAGTAGCATACCTCTCGATTTAAAGCTTTCGTGACTGCAAGGATTCATCTTCTTTGGTTATTTCGGTAAAGTCACGTAGAATGAGAATAAAATAATACATTGATAAAATAACACAATATTCTCATGTTTCGGCCACAACACAAGGCCGCTTGTGTTGTGGCCGAAAGGTCGTGAGAATATTATTGTGTTATTTTATTTGATCAATTTATTATTTTATTCTCATTCTACGTGACTTTACCGAAAGAACCAAAGAAGTAGCATACCTGTCAACCCATACGGTTTACCCCGCATTATTTTACAGGGAAATTTAGTTTTCAGGTCCATACGGCAGACAGACGTTTCAATACGAGCAAAATAAATGTTTTGTCTATTAGTTTGTTTCTCCCTTGTGATGGGGCTTTGTAGGATGAACGTTGAGATTTATAAGGGCACGGGGTGACCAATAATGTCTAAATCGGTCTGTACTAATGTAGGGCGTTGATAAAGGGTTGACGGGTATGATAATGTACAGAGAGAAGAGGTGGCGTAGTGGATGGGATTGAACCCACGGCCTCCTGCATGCCAGGCGAGGTAGTTAACATCTCTCCCGTACGAATCAATAGAGCCTCACTGCAGTATATGCTACTGTATATACTATATCTCATGGTCCGCTCTAAAACTGCATCCGCACAAACAATGGCAGCAGATGCGGATACCTGATGCACGAATAGAAACTTTAAAAACTCTCCAGTAGTGTGCGACTGTGGTCATCCAGAAGAGACCGTATAACGACGCAATGCCCAATTCAGTTTAACACGAAGGCTTTCGCGACCAATATCATCCATGATAAATATTTTTTTGGGGGGTTTCATCGCGTAAATATAAATGTGCCCTTAAACTCGCCACCACCCGACAGCCAATTGGTAAGGTTTGTCACGTAAACAACATATTCGTTACTAGTGTAACGACGACTTGGCACACTTCTCTTGAGATGGAACTTTATTGAAGACACGTTCACTTGACACAGGCGAAGACCCCCACTGCAGCAGCCCCGAGTCTCCCACGCATCTCCCTTATATACGGTCCGAGGCCACGAACCCCTTCCCGAACCTTCTCGCAGACTCTGGACGCTCGCTCCACCAGCAGATTCTACCGTCCACTTCCGTCACCTGACCACGCTCCCTTCTCGATCATTCTCGTAGCCACCAGTCCCTTCGCACTCACAGCTGACATCCCTGTCATTACCTCCTGTGGCCACTAGTGCATTCGCACTATAGGCTGACTCCCCTGTCATCTTCCATGGCCACTCGTGCATTCGCACTGTAGGCTGACTCCCCTGTCATTACCTCCCGTGGCCACTAGTCCACTCGCACCGCATGTAGACTCTACTGTCATTACACTAGTACCGTTCACCGGTGTGTTGGCGAGCAAATCCACAACATTTAAAATCTGAGTACGAGGTTTAGCCAGTAATTACAACTAGCTTAATCAGGAAACAGACAGATTCATGGGGAAATACTCCAGTTTCGTTCCAATTCACAAATACGAAGGAGACATCACAGAGATAAACTTTGCTACTCCTGACGCGGTTGTCTGGGAGTTCACCACCTGTTCTGCATCTACATCAGCCATACTAACGAAGAAGAAGACTACAGTAACAGTGTATGTATGTTGAACTTCTTTTGCACCGTACCTAGCCAACCGTGTTTATTGGAGGTGCGGGGAAGGACAACAATATAATGTACAGGCAAAAGCGGTGGCGTAATGGTGAGCGCATTAATAACCTGACAAAGAGTGATCCCAGCCACAGGCTAACAATTCCCAACCGGCACTGACCAACGTGGTGAAGTATGGGCAAACAACAGCCACGTCCCCCGTGGCGTGAGGAGGCTCTCATCTATCAGTATATTGTATGCATTGTACTGCCCTTGGACGTGTGCACACGGATTGCTCACAATTGGCTCAGCGCCCAGTAAACATCCTGGTGGTGGCGGTGTGCGTTAAATACCCCAAGTACACCACACACACAATATTAGAAAATAGGATTTGACGTGTCCGGCCAACACGCTACATCTTCAGAAAGAACGGTCGGACAAATGTTGATGCATTCTCCACTGAGGTGGCATATTTTCATGGATGTTCTTGGCATTTCGTTACAGTATTTTATACTGTACGATACAAGTCCCGACCCTCCATGTGTGTATGAAAAATTGCATGTGCTGCCTCTTTCATCGAGTCGCTGCTCAATGAAGGCTACCCGAAAGTCGTGCTGGTCGTGGGGGTTATCTGATCAGATTTCACCACGTTGGTCAGTCCTGTTTGGAGAAGATAGGGAGCATGGACGTGACAACAAAGTTGTGTAACATTACCATTTAAAAAATTATTTCATGCTGCCAAAACACCACTGCCCCCCCCCATACACTGGTATATCAGCCTGAGTATTAAACGTACACTTGTAATGAATCATGTTCCATCCACTGCTTGATGAAGGCCTCGCCACATCATCGCTTTCTTTGGCGGTCCTGCGATGCCATCTCATTCCACCACGGTCCTCTTGCACTCCAGCGTGTGATTCCCCTTTGACTGACATAAAATCACCAATATCGACCGTCTTCCTGGCTACAAAATGTGTCTTGTCCAAGCTCTTTGACCTTTCTTAAGTCAACATGATGTCTGTGATTTGCATTAGTTATAAACACTGTACTGTGTTATCAATGAATTTGAGTTAATAATTTTACTAATTATCTTAATTTCTACAACAGAATTTCGGAAAATATCTTCCGAGTGTCATTGTAGAGAGCCATAGAGAGACAAATATGTCCTTGCAGACACCTCTTCTGATTTGTATATTATGCTTTATTGAGGCTGTTAAATGTTTAAGCAATTACTAGATGCTCTGACAAATACATGTGAATGTGTTTTTGTTCATTTTAAATGTCTTGTATATAATTTGTGAAATATTAAAATAGCGTACTATATATAGTTTCCCAAACCTTGTGCATTCTAAATAACCTCAATATAAAAAATTCCCCCACAAAAAATATGCAGTTTGGAATAGCATAATACATCGAGTTGACACCCAAAAATAATTAGGATGGACAGTACATATTTTAGCCGGGGCTCCTCAGCACTATTTTGACTCATTTTCTCTATAAATATATTTCATGATTTGTACGCAGTTCCAAATACATATTTTCCAGGACACGTTATTGAAGTACAATACTTTCGTGTGTGATCTTTGTCCACATTTAGTTAACGTCAAAGGGGGACAGTACTGTACATGCTTTTAGCATGCCCATTAACATGCCCATTACTTGAATCCCTGAAGCCTCACAGAAGCAATATTGTTTGGCAGTTGCAGCGTGGTTGAAAGCAATGATGTTTTGAGTAATGACATGTGCTTGAGAAGGGCACGGCCAAATACTCCCCCGCCCACCTTCCACGTCGACGTGGCAAGTATTTACCCTGGCATTTTGGTGGTGACCAATGGGTGTACTGTGGAGCATTCCTATTTTAAGATCACGTTCATATTTCTCACATGACCGTGACTCATGTCCAACTTAAAATAATTTTCGTATGCCAGTTAAGCTTAAAATGCTAATCGCCATGCAAACTTAGGTTTCCAGTCCTGAATGTAAGCGTATTATGTACATGCAGTGTTTATCTGTATATAGCAGTGCATATTCGCTTAGTTATATTTTAATTCTTAATGATTATTTCCATTAAACAATTTTGGTTCCCTTGCTTAATCAAACACCCAGCATAGCCACGAGTTATACGTTATTATAGATATTAAACTAAGCTGCTTAACATACACATTTTCATAATTTACAAAGACATGAAATTCGTTTTTAATGATATTACTCAAATAATACTTTACCAGACTGTTGCTTGTGTCATTTATTCAATCACCAGTTTGATTTGTAATAACTAGTCTTGCGTCTGCAAGTGAAACATAAACCTAAACAGGGCTATAACTGGAAAATAAAATTAAACCCGAATTGAAAAATTTGACTGACTTGCTAGACAAGGTGGAAAGTACCTGGATATGTCAGATCACACAGACTTTGTGTGTGCAAAAATTAAGTGTGTTCACTGTCCTTTTGGTTGTCTGCATTTTCCATGGGTCTTCCAGTTTCCCCCCATTTCACAAACATACTCATTACGAAATCTGCCAAACATCCCGAGCAGGACACTTGTAATAGGAGTTTTGCAACTCAGTTGAGGCTTCCCTGGATAAAGCAAACTTTTTGCTAATTTATTCTTTCAAAACTTTACAAGCGGTGGTATGCATGGGTCGGTGTATTGGCATAGTTGTTTGTGCACTTTGTTATGAATTGAATTTGATTTCTGGCCATAGTTAACATCAGTAGCGAATATCTTTGGTTCTTTTGGTAAAGTCACGTAGAAAGAAAATAAATTAAATAGAATACGACGTTTCGATTGCAACACAAGCAACCGTCATCAGGTAGAAAACAAACCTAGTAAACTTAGAAATATAATGCAATACAACACAGAGAGTCGGCTAACACAACAGTCAACACCCTACCTGGTTGATTACGTTCTTCCAAAGATTTCTAAATTTGAGAGAGAGACAAAACACTGACACGGAGACACATAGACAGACACACAAGCAGAGAGAGACACACACATAGACACAAAGAGAAACAATGCCTCGTATTCTATTATTTAATTTATTTTCTTTCTTCGTGACTTTACCGAAAGAACCAGAGAAATTCCTGCAGTCATGAAAGCTTCAAATCAAGTTTGAACCACCTCTTTGGGGAGGATTTCCACACAACTCACACTTAACTTCTAATTTAGCAATCTTTGGAAGAATGTAATCAACCAGGCTATGTGTTAACTGTTTTGTTAATCGACTCTCCGTGTTGCATTGCAATTCCAAATTTTTCTAAGTTTGTTTTCTCAAACTTCCTATTTCTCTCTCTAAATCTTGCCATGCTTGTTTGTCTATAGGTCCATTTTCTCTCCTCTAGCCGCTACGGGGAGGATTTCCACACAACTCTCTCATTGACATGCTAATTTATCTCCCCCCCCCCCTTCTCTCTCTGCCCCCCACCTCTCTATTTAAGGCCTCGACACAGAGGCGTTGTTTCTCTGTGTGTCTATGTGTGTGTCTCTCTCTGCTTGTGTGTCTGTCTGTGTGTCTCCGTGTCTGTGTTTTGTCTCTCTCTCAAATTTAGCAATCTTTGGAAGAATGTAATCAAACAGGTGGGGTGTTGACTTGTGTTGGCCGACTCTCTGTGTTGTGTTGCATTATATTTCTAAGTTTACTCGGTTTGATTTCTCATTCTTACCTGATGACGATTGCTTGTGTTGCAATCGAAATGCTGTATTCTATCATTTAATTTATTTTCTTTCTACGTGACTTTACCGAAAGAACCAAAGAGTAATTCCTGCAGTCACGAAAGCTTCAAATCAAGTTTAGTAGCGAATATCTTACCCCGTCCCCCCCCCCCCCCCCAATAGGTCAACTCGGCTTTCATGGTTATTTACATCAACATAGGCAATTGCTGGCTTCACCATTGCCTGGTCAACCCTGTTGACCTTAATAGGTGCTTGCTAAACAACACGTGTCACTACGGCCTATAAGACTAACAAAGGAACGCTTGCTATTGTGTGTGTGTGTGTTTGCAGGCTGGGGCGAGTGCATGCATGGGTACAGCAACGGCGCACATTGCTGCGCCCCTGGTCCTCCTTCGTGGAGCAGAAGCGTTTCACGCGGCCACGCGACGTGAGCGAGCTCTGTCGGCGCGTGGTCCGCAATGGCGAGCACTTCCAGGCCAACTACATGATGGTGTTCCTAGGACTCGCCGTGTATTGTGTGTACGAAGTCGCACCCTGCAACACCACAGGGTTCTGTGATACCGCGACACTCCGTAACACTACGATACTCCGTGATACCTTAACATTCCTTAACATCACAACAATGTGACTGCATAATATCATGCGAATAGGGGATCATGTGACACTCTAGCACCATGACACTAACATTGTGACGCTGCACACCATGACAGTAGAGCACAATGTGACACTCAGCAACCCCACAACTCTGTGACACTGGACACTCCATAATACCACAATACTTCTATGTCTGTTATACTCCACTACAATGTCATTGCAGGGACTCTTTTTAAAACATTGATATAAAGCTTTAGAGACAGGACTGCATTTTAATTTTGCATTTAGACATGCGTGTTCCATTTGGTTTATGACCAAATCAACTGGAATGTGCCTGGTCTTGTTAGATATCAGAATCGAATCAGGGTTGAGCCTTGATAGGGATTTGATAGGCGATCACTATGTATGTCACAGGTATTTTAGGGTGCTGTGGAGCTGCTTTGTTGGTAAAGGGGAGTACAGCATATGCCATTGTTGTACCGTTCTTTTATCTTCCAATGTCTATGCTCCCTGCCTATACGTACCTGCACTGACAAATATGGTGAAGTATTATCAAATAATCTCATGGCCCGCACAGTGTAGAAAAGCCTTCCAGAAGTTGATAGGCAAAATACCCATACATACGTGTACTCATTTTATTTGGCCATGTGGTGTTTTACGTGGATGTGTGGGGGGTGGTTCTTTGGCTGTGCAGGATGACCTCGCCTATGCTGCTGCTTGCCCTCGCCGTGTTCCTGGGCGCGTGCTACATCATCAGCCTGCGCTCACAGACCTCGAAGCTCGTACTTATGGGTGCGCTGCCCGCGCACCTACACCGCAGGGGAATCTGAAAGGCGCCTTTTGTGATTACGTTAAATTTTAAATCAAAGTAAAAAAATGTAGTTTGCCAAATCTCACAGAATGGAAATGGCAATTAAATAATCAACACACAGGCCTTCCATTTGTTTGGGGAAGGCAGCATTTGAAGTGTTTTTTTTGTGAGTGGTTGCAGTGCATGAAAATGTGGAACTGGTTATATAAGTTGTGGGGAGTGCATTTTGGTATATCAATATAATTTCGGCTGCTTATGGCCACCTTAATCTAGCTCCTGCCTACAAAATAAATCTGGATTCTATTGTATGTAGGGTGTGTAGGCATATATGCCTACAAAAGACATTTAGTTTTTTGGGGAGGAGGTGGGGGAGTGAAAAAAAATGGGTGGGGGTCAGCAATTTTTGGAAACTTGTTGGATCAACTTTTTACCCCCACATAACGTTTTGAGTCAGGCCTTCTGAAAGGCTCTTTGACGGATAAACGGACAAACAGAAAGTCGGGATTTTACAATCGATAACGCCTCAGTGATATAATGGCTTTCTGAACTTTGCTTGGGCCTTCCATAGTACTACCTGACCTAAAACAAATGCCAGGCACAATATGTCAATATCCTTTGCCAGCTTTAGTGCTCTTTAGTAGATTCTGAATGTTGAATGGCGATTGTGTTGTGTGTGCAGGTCGTGAGCTGAGTGTGACACAACAGTACGGGGCAGCAGCAGGAGTCTCCTTTCCTCTTTTCTGGCTGGCTGGCGCTGGTTCTGCTGTCTTCTGGGTTCTTGGTGAGGCACAGGATCACTGTGTGCACACTCCTAACAACACACACACACCCTTGTGTGCCTTGTGAATGTGTGTATATATGTTGTGTGTGTATATATATTATGGGGAGCGGTAGTGCAACGGTTAGCGCGCTGCACTACAAACCCGGCGACCCCAGTTCGATTCCAGCTCACAGCCAACACCAGTGATGATTATTTGAACCGGTCCTGGGCTTCCCCAAGGTCGACTTAGCCTGAAATGATTACCGGTGTGGTGTGTAAACATCACCACTGGGGAGACAAAGGCGGCCGTGTGTGGTGCTGGCCACCCATCCCCTCATGTGCCATGCCAGCCTTCATAGGTGCTCACTAACAGAACTTGCTCCTAAAGTCTGTTAAGGCTATATGGAGGATCTTTGTCTTTGTGTATATAGGAAGAACAAGTGCAGTGGATCATGTACTGATCTATGAACCCAAACCATGGATAACTTTAGTCTCAAGTGGTATCCAAACCTGTCCTCAGTCTCCCCTGAGTCGATTTAATCTTAAGATTATTATTGTGTGAACATCAGCAGTGGGGAGACAAAGCCAGCCGGGCATGAGGTATTTACCACTCGCTTGGACTTAAAATCGGCATTAATTAATGCTTGCTAACAACACTGTATAAATACTGCAAACTGAATACGTGAGAGTCACTTAATGTACACACGGGAATTTAACCTTACCATACTCTCAAACCATGATATTTTAAAGAATATAAAAATTTTAAAATCATCTTTTATTCTGGAAGCTCAAAAAACCAGAGTAAAGTCCACTTATTATTTACAAACTCATTAACCATTGTTGTGGAGCATGATGGGTAAAATAAGCAGAACTCTTTCCACATAAATAAATGTGAATTAGTCCATTGGCTTATTTGCTTTCCAGACCAATTTTATCCAGCATAATTTATTTAAGCAAATAAACTCTGGACTGGTTTTGACCTTATTTTGTACCACATTAGCAGAATCAGAGTTGTTAAACAAATGCTGAGTTACAAAATGTTATGATGATTATGTGCTTGCATAATAATGCCCGAGGCTTGAGAGCGGCAGACTAACCTGTCCACGTACCAACAGGCGCGACTCTGTTCGTCATCGGCGGCCATGCCTCGCTGCATGAGCTGGAGCAAAACGACTTTGAGGAGCTGCAGATGGAGAGCGTGTAACCGTGGTCGTGGTGGTGGCGAGGTTGCCTCCAACGGGGGCACTGGCATAATCACCGCTGAACGCGCCGCCATGCCCCCCCCCACACAACCGCCAATATCTGTTACCACGGTGTCCTTGCCAAGCACCGCTTGTGTGTGGTGCCGTATTGATGCACACCAGTAAGCTAACATACCTTGGCACTTTCCCATGTGTGACATGAGTCAGTGATGCACACCTTCCTGCTTTTGCTTTCACGTGACTTTTCAGATTAAGTAAAATATTTTCTATGTTTAGATTGCTCTGGAGGTGTTGTTATAAAAGTACATATGTACATATAGTATACCATATTACATTCCTTATATATCGCCGTGTGGTGAAGGGTTTTTTTTTCCAAATACATTTAATGGTAAAAATGGAAAACAAGAACAGGGTATGTGAATACGAGTTTGGGAATTGCTGTGTAAAACATTGAAATGCTTTGCAAAAGAAGAATGATTAAAATACACTTTACGTTGTGATTGCATTTTAATAACATGCATACAGTTGGTCTGTTTCCATATTCAATGCCCCTGGTTGTTGTGATGGCCTGTAACTAATAATCTTTAAATTTTTGTTTTTTATTTTATTGTTTCCCTTCTACGTGACTTTACCGAAAGAACCTAGAATATAATCTTTAGTTTTAAAATATGTTGAGGGATACAAGAACGTGTTTTGGGAAGTAGGATTACATTTAACAACCTCCCAAAGTGTAAAAATGTTACTTGGCTGCCTCATAAGTGAATGGATGCGTACACAAACCATTTGTGAGGTGAAACGGACCACTTGGAAGTTTCTGATTGTCACTCGTAGCCCTCATTGTCTGACGTGGGTGAGGTGGCTCAATACCGCTCTTTAGAAACCTGACCATTGCTGAGGTACTGCAAGTTATGGGTTCTTAGCTGGGGGTCCAATGGGGACATGAGTTGGCTCCAGTTCTGATGGCCATAGAGGAACTCGTGTTTTGTAGCTGCTGATGACATACGTCAGATTAATATGAAGGTGAATACAATATTAAATATGCCTGTGGGTGAAAGGCCTGACGTCCAAGCTTGTTTTTTTTTCCTGGAAACCTGAGGTGGATCTGAACTTCCTACCGGACCTGTAGCCACTGCATATCCCTGGATTCCTTTGATGCCGTCGTGGTCTGTGCTGGCATGTCTAAAAAAGACAAGTGACATGAGGTCAACACCACGTGCATTTGTCATTGACCACAGCTTGTCTGGCTTGGCGCATACATACCTGCAAATCAATATTGCTCATTTTGATGGGGGGGGGGGGGGCGGGAGGATCTAAAAATGTTGGTAACACCTTGCAACTGTATGGAGTTGTGCAGAACAAGTTTAAGGGCACCGGCTGTAATGAAAAGTTTTACAAAATGTAATAAAAACTGAGTGTGCACGTGTTCATTTTTAAGCTTTTGCCTTTTAAGATATTGCAGAGCATACAAATGTCTGCGATATATTTATCTGTACGACGATGGTTATGGGAAATGGTAGCATCATGTCTGGGTCGGCTTAAAACAGGTGTGGTCACCACAGAGCCTGTTTGCACAGAGCTGATGGCTCAGTTACTCCCAGTTAATTAGTTGATGGCTGAGTTACTCTGCATAATTAATGAGGGATATGACCAAAGTGCACTGCAGCGGAGCAGAACGTTTAAGATCCTCTGACCTCGTTTGCAAAAATAGATCGCTTGTTGGACTAGTATCTCGGAGCACAATTGCAAATGTCTCGCAACAATTACAGAATAACCTAACCCTCTATTTCCCAAGTGTCCCTTGTTTAAAGTTATGTCGGTACAATGTTTTCATCTTGATGACTGGATCTTAAAGTGGGGTCTGGCGATGTAGTGTAGAGGAGAAATGATAAAACGCAAATAAATTGGTGTTGCCGGCCAAAGGTGACTTGTGTATGCAGGACCTCGCTCGTTAGGTTCTTTAGATTCCGATGCGTATCTCTAACCCATTGAACATGAAATATTGGGCCAACGTGGGGCCAACGTGGGTCCAACGGTTCCAATCACATGCCAATGTTAGCCCAACGCAGCATGTTTAGAAAATTGCTTGGTTATATTTTTGGTTCATACTCTTTGGTTCTATTGGGTAAAGTCACGTAGGTAAAAAATAAAATAACAAAAATCACGACGTTTCGGCCACAACACAAGCGGCCTTCATCAGGTGAAGGGACGAGACTGTCTGGAGGACAGCGCTGGAGTGAAAAAAGCCACGCTCAGATCACGACCTTTAAGCTATATGGGCAGTTCAATGCAAATCTTAAGGCCGAGTGATAGATGGAATCAAGCTTCTTCAGTACAGTACTTGGGGCTGATTTATACACGATATCACAGGAATCAAGTAGGGGCAGTATGGTAGCTTTTATCAATTACAAACGGAACATAGGGGGGAAGCAGTGCTTGTGTCGATACAGAAAACCAATTTTTATTTTTGTCTTTTTACCAGATCCACGTCGGGGAGAAGAAGCCTCTAGCCACGCGGTCCGGGACCCAGCTTGTGGTCTGGACCGGGATAGCGAGCCGTGTCTAGTTCTGCTGTAGCGTGGTTAGATGGGCATTCGAGATCCGAGTGTAGATTGTATTGTATTACGTGTTAATGCAGAATAGTGTTGCTCCCAAGATAACGTCTGTGATTCAGTTGGACTCACTACAAGTGTATTACTAATTCGGTGTGCCACTGGCTCGGACTAATGTGCCAGTTAAAGGTTTTGTTTCACTGCCTCTACAAGATTTTCTTTTTTTACGAAACCTCATTCCAAAAAAAACACGATAATAGAGGTTTTTGGGTTAAATCACGTAAATATATAAATGTGTCATTAAAACCACCACCACCCGACACAGCCAACTAGTAAGGGTTGTCAAGTAAACAGAACATGCCAATTCGTCACTAGTACAGCACACCGGTGTGTTGGAGAACCAAGCCACAACATTTACAAATTGAGTACGACGTTTCGCCAGTAATTACAACTAGCTTCATCAGGTGACATCCAGTTTGTGGAGAAGTCTTACTGTTTCGTTCCTTATATAGAGGTGTAGATATGTTGACCACCCTTCTGCGTTTTTGCACAATGTTTGGGGGGGAGGAGGGGAATTACTGAGGCAACGTAATTATGCATGTGCATTATGCGAGCCCTTTGTCCTTCCTGTCTATTGTGTTTATAAAAACAGCCCTACCAACGGTAATCCCTATTGAAGTACGCTGCCCTTTGTAGACATGCATTTAAATAATGTGTAGTGACAGACAACGTCACTACCATGTCGGGTCTGTGCACATGACATCACTACGATGTCGGGTCGGTTCGGATGACGTCACTGCCGGGTCGGGCAGTGCGAAGGCCGTTGAGTGCCACGGGGGTCGTGGCAGGCCGTGGCACTCTGAGTGACCCCGGCTAAACACGTGAACGGACCAAGGTGTATAATTTTATTATTCGCTTCCACGCAGCACTAAGACGGTAGCTATCCGAACGGTTAACCCAAACACCTCTATTATGGATGATATTGGTCGCGAAAGCCTACGTGTTAAACTTTGTAAATCTGTATACTGTATTACGTTACAAAGAAAGGGCAGTTTGCCTCTTGCGACTTTGCCAGTTCATAATGTAGCTCCTGTAAGGGCTTTTATCGTCATTTACCATGTCTGTGTTACACCACGGGTGATGTAATCAGCATGGAGTGCAGTCGACAGACAATACAGGTCACAATACACATGATTAATTATTGGAATATGTGCACTGTCTAACAATGAACGTGTTCCTGCCAAGATATACAGTATTTGCAATAATGTACGACAGGTTTTGAACTCACGTTTGTAATCGCATAGAGTTTGCGGTACGTTAGGGTTATGGATGTGTACCATGCATATGGATTGAGATGGTCACGTGGTCAGGTATGCCGATATTAGGGCGCCTGCTACGGGGGAGGCCCAAACAATGAATACTATTCATGGAAAATGGGGCCTTTAGCTAAAGAACCAAGAATATAGGTGTTAAGATGTTCAAACATCAAATATAAACCTTTTGCAAGGGATTAAGTGTATTAACCACACGTACTTGTGGTGAACATGCAAACTAAAATTATCTGATAATATATGCATTGTTTTTTAAAACTAATTGGCCTGTATCTGCGGCAGCAGTTACATTGGGGAAACTAAGCGATATGTCTCGGACCGTGTTCGTGAGCATAAGGCAGATTATAAATACGGTAGGACCAATACTTCTGCCATAGCTGATCATTGTTTAAATGCGGCTGGCTCACACGAAGCCATCCATATATACAGACAGACAATTTCAACCGAGAAGATGGCTACAAACTCAGCAATCACTGGAAGGACGTTATCAACCATTTCAAGTCATAGCTGGCTGTAATGTGTCCATTTTAGACCTGGCAGGCCTTCAATTGGTGGAAGCCCACAACCAGGACCATCATTACCCACTTCTACCATCACCTCTAGCAGCAACCTCTACCATCAACAGTGTGATTGTGTAAAGTGAGGTGAAATGACTACCTGGCAGCCCTTTAATTCGTGGAAACCCACCACCAGCGCCGATGTTGCCCACGAATACCCATCACCTACATTAACATAAGCTGCCCCACCCATGCTTTTGACACTTGGGCTATGCCCATTTTAAACCTTTATAAACAGTTTGCCTTTTGAGGCTAACCCCCCTTTTCTGATAACGACTGCTTGTGTTGCGATCGAAACGTCGTGGTTTTTGTTTTTATTATTTTTAAATCTACGTGACTTTACCGAAAGAACCAAAGAATATGGGTCAAACTTATTATTTTTTCATACCACTCATGGAGATGACAGCTTGTACCTCTTGTGGGCTGCACAAGTATATGTGCCCTGTTGTAATTAACAAAAAAAACAATCCACTGTTTAAATTAAATTCTGCCGCCGCTGCATAGCCAAGCCTTGCAATTTGCACGTTTTCATTAAGACATGCAAAACATTTTTTATTGCTTAAATATAGCAATCCTATTGTATCCCTTTCGAGTGAGTCATGTCAGTCATATCTGAAATGTGGTCGATTGCTGCATATAACAGCATTGTAACATGGTTATTACTGTACGTTAGTGCAGAAGGATGTAGTTTTATGTAATTGTTTATGTTTCTGCGCAAATCATCATGCCATAATGCGTTGTCATTCACTTACGCTCTCAAAAGATTTGGTTCAAATGCGGATTACAATACGTGTAGGCGTGCATTTTACATGACTCTCTTCTTCGTGCCAAGTGTGCTCGTTTGACCGTGGAGTTTGGTGCAAACGTAACGTAGCCAACGGTGCTAATCGCATACCGTGTCAACCCATACGGTTTACCCATATTCTTGTACAGGGAAATTGAGTTTTCAGGTCCATAGGGCGCACAGCCGTTTCAATACAGGCACATTTTTTTGTCTATTTGTGTCACCCTTATGATGGGACTTTGTAGGATGAACGTTGAGATTTATAAGGACACGGGGTGACCAATAAGGTCTGGATTGGTATGTAATAAGGTAGACACTGATAAGGGGTTTCCAGGTATGTAATCGGTTAGCTACGTAGTCACTCCTGCAGTTTTTACTGCAGGCAGACTGCGCCCTGGTCCATCACCGAAAACCACAACCAGTACCGTAATTTGACGCTGCGCTCCCTCAATGGCGGAATAAAAAAAAACAGCACAGAGGCCCCAACTGGACATCTGTGAAAAAAGAGCTTAATACTTCATCGGATTCCTCCAGTATAAATAAAACGATTCTGGTTCTGACATGAACTCTCTTCTGAAGCCCTCTCGTTGTGACTGACCAGACCTTGACATTCTCATTTAGCCCTTTGAACGTATTGCCATACGCGATAGTATAATTGCAGGGATGTCTATACGGGTAGTATTCTTTTACAAGGTGGTGTACTGCTTTCTGTGAATGTCATGTCGTCTGATTGCTCGAATAGAATGTACATGGATTTCATTGAATTTTCAGTCATGTGTAAATCACGTCTTTATGGCGTTACGGCATCCCGGCTGGGCGTTTGGCTGGGGAACTTGTGCGCAAATTAATCTCAGGAAAAATAAACTCCTTAAAAAAAGTTTTTTTTTAAACAACGGTTTTATTTAAAAGTGCACTGAAAAGTGAAAGAAATTTCAGCCGTCACCAACTGATCAGAATATTTTTCGACATTTGTAACTAAAACATAAAATCGTGGGGCACTCCTTTAATATTTGTATGCATAATGAGTTGCTTTAACATTTGTTAGTTTTATATACGTTTATTTGTGTGATCAAATGTATGTCAAAATTATTGTCAATCATTAGTAGTAGAAGGAAAAATGTTGATAATGATGTAATTTAAGTTTGCCATGAAGTCTAGAACATATGCAAGTGTTTTGAGTATAATTATAAATTCCGTATTACTAGC